ATATGAGATTTAGTTTTTTTTGTAATTTCTATATAAAATAACCTAAATCTTTTAATGAATATTTTAGATGATTATTATGTCCCGATAACAATAGTGAATAGTGACTTTGAGATCAATTTATGGACCAATATTATGCATATATTTATTATCGTATAATCGCTAAATAACTAAACTATTTCTATCCATGTTCCTCATATAATAAGCTTTATTTTGACCTATAGACTATTGTTATACAATTTACCATTCATGAATTACATCAAGTCTACTAATTACTGTTCCCCATATTCACAACCACATTTGGCTAAATCTTGTACATATGTTATTTTCTATTTTATGGTACTATGTGGTCAGTTTGATTGGTATATAAACTCAGTGTGTTTGAAATATAATGATTCATACAGCAGAGGCTGTTCTGGACTTAACTGGCTGCGCTAGGCAGATCGCAGGATCGGTTAGCACTCTAGTCTGCTCGTACGGTTTCGTGTGTCACTGTTCCAATCGATAATTCATTGCTCTTTGATTGGCGGTCTTATCAAGTCATATTTTAACAAGGCATCCACTCGGCCACAAGCTAGAACACATCCTATCAAATTGTGTCACTGGTGAATGACTTTGATAAGAATTTTTAAGCTCCTAGTTAGACGATATAACTAGTGGAGTTTAAACATTTTGGGGTATATGACAGTCATCACTGATGGTTTTGAATGATAACCATGCAATATATCGAATTGTCTGGGTTTATGAATGTGGATTATTAGGTCACAACTCTGCTGCCAGTATGTAACTCCTCTACATTTAGAAGCCTGAATGATGAAGTCATAGATTGAAAATCCTGAAGAGTTTCATATTTAATTATAAGTGATATCCGGGGCTTCCTGATATTCAGTGGTTCGTTAGCTATAGTCAGTCTATAATTTAAACACTACAACTTCTTTTGTCAATAAACTACTTTGTTGAATCTAAGAAGTTCACTTTATTAAAATTCCACTCAAACACATCATTTGATGGATATTTATCCAGTGTTCTCATGAGTAAAAATATGATATCCGACATAAAACCGCCCAAGATAAAAAAAAAGTTACTCCTATCATAACAGTTATACTACCCTCAGGTGATCGAAAGACGATTTTCACCTATTGTATTATGCTTAAGTAAAGAGAAAAAGTGGCAAAAAATAATGTTGTCTATGAAAGTAAATAATAATGCTGTTCTCTCATATAACCTTGACAACATGTGTTTGCTGATAGGTATGACTTTTATATTATTTACCTTCATTTCACTTGCTAATACTAAATATGATATATTTTACAAATAATTTCATTAGAATACTTAAAGTTCCATATATATCCATATCTAGGTAACAAATGTTGTTTTTTCCTCTGAAAAATATTAATGTTTTCAATGATTTGTTCACTGAGTATAAAAAAATAAAGAAAAACCAGTTCATTCCGTACATTATTTAACGGTTACATTTAACAATCATTCGACTGTAGCTGTTACCTTGACGTAGTGGTTGAACTTGTATTTTGTGATAATCAAATAGAGTTATATTGGAAGGAACACTTGTTCTTTTAGGTTATCATGGTGATTTAGGGGGCAATAAACATGAAAAGAGCTGTTTTTTGACGAATTTATCACCATTGCGATAAGATCAAAAATAGAAAGCTTTCGATTCGAGGGCGACGTCGTTCACTCGATTGTACTGAGGCGTAACAGCAGTAAATTGTTCCTCTCAAACAGCAATTATCTGAAGTGAAGCTGCTTCCTTACAACAGTAAGAAGGGATTGAGATAGATTGTACCTAGAAATAGAATTTCTCACCTTTCTCCTTGGGTTTCTGATCTTTGTGGTAAGGTTTTTTGAAGTACGGAGTTAACACCTAAATCTACTGGTTAAAAACTTTGCATGACCGATCTAAAGCAATTATCCTTTGGGCTCTGCAACAACGCCCCCAGGCCGTCAAGAATATCTTTAATTCAGTTTTACACTCATGTACCCCAAGAAGAAAGCTTCTTCCATGATGTGGTCATATCTCCAACAGCGTCCGAGATCACCTTGTTCGAACAATCCTCATTATCTATAATAAACGGCAATATAATCTTTATAAAAGTCTGATATTATTGCTTTCCCAAAGTGACAGATTATAAATGATGTAAAGAAACAACTGATTAATAATAAATAAGCATGCTTGCAACTAGAATGAATGATACTAAGGTCTTGTTTGAGTGGAATACAACACACATTATGTGTAAACATCCAATAATTAAAATAAAGAAAAAAATTAAAACAAATACAAATAATAACTATGTGAATGATAAATTATGAATGAAGAAAACCATGAATGAACAATTCAGTTAATTTTTTCTTTAATGTAACTTTTCTCTTATATAATAATTTGTACTATCAATGTTGACAAAATGACGTAACTCTGAAGTTATTAAACAATATGTAATATCTTTTCTAGAAATGGTGGAGAAGATTTGTAGCTCAGGTGAATGATTTTGATGGAGTTTTGTCCCCTGAACTGGATGGTTTGGTTGTAGAGCTTCAACCGTCCTTCTGAACGACATCATCAGCACAAACTTCTACTATTGTACTCAAATCAACGAGTGTACAAAATATATTCATTCAAAAAATCCATTCGCGTATTTGTCTTATTTAATTCCGCCATTCGCTAACAAGGGATTAAGTCAATTATTAATAAGAGGACAGCCAGGATGTATATTTTGACAAGAATCATTCATACGATCTATTTGGAGTCAGACCCACAGCCACTAAAACCTGGTTAGTAAAGTTAGTGTAATTTAGATCCCATTTCTCCTCAGAATGGTTTATTATGTTGTATAGATTATCATATATAAGTTAGATATAATGAAACTGATATTTAATCACTAGTCCCAGGTACAGTTACATAAGTTTTAATAATTCGTAAAATGATAAAATCACATTAAGATTAATAAGACTGTCTAGACTAGTAGGTTATAGATTGAAACAATTCAATTATGATTAGGTGATGAAATATTATTTTATTATTGTAACATTCGTCACCAACGACATTGGATAGTCATCTTAACATATCGAGAAGTGAAGTTGGAAATGTGTACTATAAGACGTTTAACCCAGTGGTGTTCCAATTACTTGGGTAATTCGCTTATCTATTTGTAGAATTTAAAACTCAAGTAATTAAAGTCTAAGGGTCAAGTTTCTGGCTCAAGATCTGCAAATCCTGAGCGCTCTGTTGAGTAGTCGTATACTTGGGAGTAACAGTTGTTTATAGCTATCCCGTACTGCAACTGAGATCAGTCTGAGACGATTATGTTCCACTTTTTTGTTTATTATCAAACTTGACCTCCAATAAACTATCTGAAGGACGCATGGTTCATAAAGTGACTTTTACAGTATTTTATCTCAGTATTAATTGTGTCACTAAAATACGGTCTATTCACACATTCATTGATTAATCGATCGGACAAGTGATCATAATCACGTGTGCATAGCGATAAACAAAACAATTACGTAACTAGTAATTTAAGGTCCCAAAAGAATTTATTTTCTGATTAACTGTAAAACAATTTAAAGGAAATCTCACTGAAAACTCAACGAAATATTGGTAACATTCCATTGTTTACTAATACTATTAAATTATATAAATATGAATTGTAGAGTGATTACACCAAGTCTTTACTGCTGATCAATATTCTATTGCAAACTACAGATTTCTAGTTCACAATAAAGATGAAAGTAAGAAAATTATCTATTTTCAGTAAGGGAACTTGTGGAGATTGTAGTATTATTAACAGTGAAATTTACAAGTCGATCTGAGCTAGAGTACCGTTGAAAACTTGGAAGCAATGGAAGGGCCATTTCTTCCTAGTATGGGATTCCTCATGAGCGAGACCGAAGATCCCGGGTTCGAATCACGCATGCGTACTGTTGAGGAGTCCCATACTAGGACCGAATGGCCGTCCAGTACTTCCGGGTTTTCAATGGCTGTTTATTTAGATCGACCCGTGAATTCAACTGTTAAAAATTATATATTTGTTTATTGTGTGTATCGTTGCTCATAATTTCGGCAAATCAATTAAGTATAGTTTACAATGATTAACTACAAATAGCTCATCGCAATACAATTATATTTATTTAATGCAACATTCTTTTACACCATTTTAAAGTGTATGTTGAATCAACTTACAACATTCACATTCGAGTGGATGCATAAGTGATCAACACTGCAGAATTCGAAATTATTTCAAGACGTCCACGTTTGATGACAATGATTTTGTGTTACCTGTAGCTAGCTGTAAAAGCGAAATAACTTTTGATTCACAGAATTCATCATGTACTATTCACAATTTATTTTCTAAATTATTATATTCAATTCCATAGGACTGATTCTTATACGGTAGTTCACAATTCTTGACAAATTTTGTCCATGAGTGAAAGTAAGTTAACCCAATAAACTAGTCATAAGATATTTTGTCTGTCCTCTAATTCATCAATTTTCAGGTTTTGTTTTATTACTACAGACTACATGTTTAGTTTACACCAAGACGTGATATTAGTCCATGAAATCATAGACTGTTGGAGTGAAATGCGTTAGTAAAATTCAGACTAATTTGTTGTGATCTTAGTGCTTATCATTGGATTACATGGTTCAGAATCAGTTATAATAGCACAGAAGCATTTAATTTTTGTCTGACCTTAGATCTCAAGTTTTAACATTACATCATACTTTGATACTCCTAAAGTTCACTCTCTTTCAATCTTTTCTAATATTCCAGCATTTATCTTAATAATTTCATCTCACCGTCCTAATACAGTGTGACAACTTGGGAGGATGAATATATGCACCAAATTGCTTACGAAGACAATCAGTGTTTCGTTGGTAGAACAAAAACCATCGAATGCTTCAAACCTCAAAATCAAATGATTCCTTGATCTAACACATAAATACAATGACCAAATGAGTAAAAAACATTAAAAACAAAACTTGTTCAAGTAAAAAATGATTCTGTAACATAATTTCTTTTTTTTTAGAAAAGATGAAAGACTAATGAAAATGGAAAGTTATAGAAATGTTGTAGGTTGGAGGCCGTCAAGATGTTTTTATTCTCCCCTTACTGATCAATCTTTAGGGTAAATAGATAATAATATCATATACTATAGTAGTTTTTAAAAAGAAAAATTCATATTTATTTCTTTATGTATCTTGACGTACAATAGAAGAATGAAATATGTCAATAGTTGTTGCAGAACATGTCCGAAAGTCATAGTCATGTACACCGAGACCACAAAATTTATGTTCAGGTCGACGTATATAATCTAACCCACGACCAATCTTAACAATCCATCCACTATCAAATCTGTTTTTTTTTATTTTTAAAAACATGAAAAGAAGAAAACAAGAATGATTCCAATGAAACACAAATAGATGATCATAAATAAAATTAATAATTTTTCCAAAAAAATTGTTTAGTGGTAAGTTATAGTGACAACGTAAGTATGAATATGGTTTGATTACACCTATCACACCTAATAATTACATCACATCTAGAAAAAAAGGTTAACAAGATGAATCTAAATTGGATTGATTATATATAGCTTTACGTTGGTATATTTTTATGTGGTCAGCAGTAGAACCTAGGATGGGCATTTAGCCCTATTGTGGTGGGGTTTACCTATATCCTCACAAGTAGTATATGGTGATGGTCAGACATAGAATGTATTTTGGCAGAAGACCGATAAGGAAAGAACTGAAATGAAACGCAATTGGTAGGAAAATGAATAAACAATGAAATTTAGAGAAGATGAAATGATATTTACAGAAGGCAAAGTGAAGATTGAGAAAATTTATTGTTATTTTGCAAATTAACTGTTTGCTGTATGGTTATCAGATCTTAGTAAGATAGTTTGTAATTTGTGCTTAAATACATTTGATTGTCCCCACTCGTGTTCTCATTCACTACACTATCTGGGACTTTTCAGGTGGATATATCTCCAACTCAGTGTTTTTATTCATACTGAGATTTAAACCCAGTAGCTGACCATTTGCAATTTTGAATATCAACAATAAGAAATTATAAAACTACTTAACACCTTTATACTCGTTGAACAACTTGATGACTACCTTGACACAGTAGGTAAATAGATATTTTGTTGATATTTCAAGAGACAGATATTCAGTTCAAGTCTCAGTGTGAACATCAACACCAATTAAGAAATTTCAAAAGCTTATTGTTTATAATCTATTCTTTTTTCACATTTCAATAAACTATGAGATAAGATTTCATAAGTTACGTTTAGACTACACAATAACATCGAACTGTTGAATTATCTGATAATTAGTAGACTTCGAAAAAAACTGTAAATGTGCCACTTTTTTGTAAGACTAAACAATGTCAATGAAAATGTTAAAGATACCACAAAAACACCAAAATTCATGATTATTACAATCATTATTGTTTTTTAATCAGTACCCTTACGCCTCACTCATAAAAAAGCACGCATATTTGATCACTCTTTCTATTGGTTGTTTTTCCCCAGAGTAATATGTAAGTATTATATGTACCAGTGATGTATTTTTAATTCCATTGAATTTTGTTTCGACAGAAAGGTTCTTCTACAAAGTCTAGAGCCTTCTATCTTTTTGCTTGCGTTTAATCGTTTTGTCAACACTAAAGTTATATTGTGTATTAATCATTCGATTTATTTATTCACGTTAAATACTTTCTCGTATTAGCACAAAATATAGAACACGACAGAACGGAAATGAATACTCAAAAGAACCCAAACATCGTTGAACTCTGATTTTCCTATAGATTAATAAATTACATCAAAATGAAGTATTAAAATTATTAGCCTAAAAGCTAGCAACTATTATGATTATGAAAAAAGTTAACTACATAGATAGGGATAAGATAGTTGCTCATGAGTTTGTAGCGCATTAGCTTTTAAATGTTCAATGTGTGTGTGTGTGTGGTATCCAGTATTTTCGGGTATTTTCCCGTTCATTTAGCAGGTGAATGCTGCATTTAAGGGTATAATTTTAACTGAGGCGCTGCAGTGAGGCATTCCTAGAAGACATCTAGATAGTTTCAGATTATTAAAATGAAATCCTCAGTGAAAACCATGCTCTCATATATAGCGCTAACTCAATAAATAAACAGAAAGATGCTAAAAATGCTAGGTATCGCACTTATATTGAACATTGGAAAAGGATGGTCAACCTCACGACATATGTATACACTTATCTTTTTGAATTGACCACAATATTGGAACATGATAGTTTAAAAGTTTTTTTCAAATAAAACCGAACAATTACAATCCGAGACTATCAAAACGAAACAACAACCAACATTGTATTTAAATAATCCTTAACTAACCGTATCTCTCGATCATGTAAGGTATCCGAGAATGTCCACTCAAAAGTAACTGAATGCTTTTCTAAATCACCCTTTAACATATTAAACTTTTCTATTTGTTCATCTGGATGCTGTAACAAGATAATAATAATAATATCAATAATAATAATGGTAATTATAGAATAGGATTTATTTATCCAATAATAATAAACTATACGGGAAAGGAATGAATTACACTCTTATAGAAAACTGCATGGTTGGCTGTTATGAGTAGCTTATTAAAAGTATCGCTGAATGACAGCGCCCAGCCTTTTTCTTCAAAAACTAGCTTGAATCTATGCAAGAAGTAGATCAGCAAATTATCAACGCATTAAATAACACTGAAATATTTATAGGTATCATTTCCAAGATTTGACTTGATAATTTCAAGTAAATTGAGAACTGGGTAGATTGTTACAAATAAATAATATATTTGTAATATCCCGACGAGTAGAAAAATTAGATTTTCTGACAAGTTGGTGACAAGACATCTGAAGCTATATAAGCCTCATCATCCCATTCATCGATTTATTTCAATTATATTTTGAGCTGCAAATTATTTTTGATCAATGTCTAAGAATTTGAAAAGATATACTCTATAGTGGTAGAAAATAAATATATTAAGAAAATTGATTTTTGACTGGGATTAAATGGATTAATGGTGGACAAATCAACAAACCTGGGCGTCTTCTCCAGTGGTCAAATAAATATATTTTACCTTCGACACTGATTGAATGATGACTTCACAAAAGTGAGAAAAATTCTCAATCTAAATGGAAATAGTTTTGCATTAATGAAAAATTTAGATTAACTTGATAACTATTTCTGATATACGGATCTTCCACCCAAACTTTGCTAACTGTACCATCTTCAAGAAATCTTCCAAAAACCTTTTTGTAACCGTAACCAGTAGCACCTTCCTCTATAACAACTTGTTCGTGATAATTTCCATCTAATATGAAAATAAGGTGAAATAGTTTAGTTTTTTAATTTGACTGACTTTCCGATTCCTTTTTAAGTTTTTCCTTAAGTTTTTCTGCATGGGTTATATACTCTGAAACTTTCAGCCTGAATCTGTCTTTGAATTCTGGTTCTAAAAACAAGAATTTAGTAGTGGAAAGAAATATATATTACGTGTATTATCAGGAATAGAACGAAGAGCTTTGATGAATAAACCAATACTTTCTTCATAGCATGTTAAACTTTCAGTAAATTTTAATTGTTTCTCAAGTTCTATGGCTCGAAGCATAACAATTGAGCCCGCTTCTATCAGGGAATTTGAAGTCATCGTAAATAATCCTTGCGAGTAGATTTTTCAACAAGTTGGCTGTTTTTTGGAATGATGATTTCAAAAAAAGATCAAAATTTATAATTGATTTTATCGGAGATAAACCATGTAGTTCATTATGATTATTGTAAGAGAGCAACTATGTTTTACAAGACATAAGACTGATATTTTCTGGACAAACACAAATTTACAATCAAAGTGTGAAATTGAGTTGACCAGTTTCTTTCCAGCACATAAAACATTTAGAAACCATACCAATTGCAGCCCTCAGGTAAGCTACAAGATAAATTAGCAAACTATAATGGAGATTCTCTTACTGAAATAGTCTATGATATTATTATGGGAGTTTTTGATGATCTGGTAATATGAAATTTCTGGCTGTTAAAATTGAAAAAATAGAATGTTAATCAGTGAATGGATGCCATGATATGATGCAGTCAAGTGATGACTGACAAGACTTTACTACTGGCTTAAGCCCCCGAACGATTAGAAATCAAAAACATGACTACAGGATAGATGATATGGGTTTTGCATCAAAATGACACGCTTATACACAAAATAAGCGTGACAAAATGTCATAAGGGATTGGAGGAAATTAGCCTATGGGTCACTTATTCTGCAATCAATTAAAACTTAACTGCTGGACCTAGTCTTTGGGCATCGTATTACCTCCCTCACTATGATGCGGAATCCTTCTGTGACAACACTAGTGAGAAGCTGGTAATTTTATTTTGTTTCACATATTCTTAGATTTTATTGTAAATCATGTTTTGTTTTGTTTTTTTACCGAGTAAAACTGGCTTACTGACATAAAATATGAAATACTTCGTTTCACCTTGAGTAGTGTTCAGGTTATGGCTCATGCAGGAATATTTTGATAATTTCTGTAAGGGATTGGATCAGTTGGATGCATGTTGATCTCCACTCATCGACCACTGATACCTTGCACGATTTTTTCTTGTTAATGTACAAAAATATATCGAGTGATGAATTACTAAAATAGAAATCGTTATCGCAAGTTTTCATGGGTCGCAGATTGAGAAAAACCCGACACCTGGCGTTACCAAAAGTGATTACTCGTAGAAAAATGGTCCCACTATAAACCTCAACATTCGAAGTCAAAGTTCATGAGTTTTTTCCGAGATTATAGACCAAGGGAAGAAAATGGATAAAGAGGTGTGTGAAACCAAGGCTATGACAGGTTACGTATGGGGAAGTGGTTGGGAAACGTAACGAGATCGAAATCAGTGACGAAGAAGTATATCATCTGACGTAAGATAGCAACAAACAACACCGTTGTAAATACTAATATACGTTTACAGAACACTACAACCCCTGAACGACACACTAGAAGTTAAACAGATGATACATCCAAAAAAAGTAGACCTACATCTCAAGTGAACTTGAGAGGATTGAGCAATGAAAATGAGAGGTGTTGAGGATATGGAATTCCTAAATACAACTTACAAGGAAAGAGACCAATATTGATTTGAGATGACTGTTTTTTACACTATTTTTTTAATTCGAATTTTATTCCTGGACTTTTAATTTACTTTTCACTATGATTTGTTTTTTATTAAATACTACTCGGTTCTCAAACCATAATCATTTTAATTGACATATAACTGATTATGTTGAATATCTTCTGAGTCTTGATTGATAAAACTTTCATGTGACAACTACGCTGCTAACTCCGATTAGAGAGGCGGGGAATAGGATAGCGGTAGTCTCGTTCGTGAAAGATTAGGCATCGAATATACGACTTGAGAAGATATAAATTAATGAAATAAAAGCATCATGGGAAATTATTAAGCTTAGAATCTGTGGAAAAACAAATAATAAATGCATTTGTAAACGATTTTGAGCTATGTCATTGAATAATTAGACAGGTTTTACATCCTGTTGAGTGTATTGAAGAAAACACCCCGTATTATGCACTGAAGCATACAGTTACACTTACCAATCTACGCATTTATTGGTTTTGATATTTGATTCTACACGGATTTTTCTTAAAGGGATAACTAGTAAGTACGCAGTATTATTGAAAGGCTTATACTTCGATAACCAGGATTACAATGCCTTCATAAACTAGTCGGTTAATTTAGGTCAGTCGATTAAAGTACGTTAAAAACAATATTTGGATAAATAACATATCCCTTCATACCATAGTCAACTTCATATAAGCTATCTTATATCTTTTTTGACAGAACCAATATCTCCGAGACTTGTTCTTCGCAACTAGTCATTAAAACGTCTGAGTGCAGTAAGGTCAAGAATATATGCAAAGTGGACATCTTCAGGTTAAACAGTGACTTACGGAAAGCAGTTAACAGATGATAAATGCATCTGTCCCGAAGGAATGTTGTCTTATATCAAGAGGAAAGTAAGAGGAAATGACAGGATTTACTAGCCACAGTTATGCGAGAATTAAATAGCCAGCTGAATCAGACCTATTTCTACGGAAACCGCTGTTACACTAAATCTTCTCTTAAATCTGTCACTGTAGTTCCATATGATGGTGAAAATCTTTTTAGGTGAACTAGAGTCGAAGAAGGTTAGACGTCATTCTCTACACGTTTTCGAATGACTCCTCAAAACCAAGAAAGTTCATGTACATCGATGACCTCCGTTAACTTGTGTAACGATTCTCAGTGTAGCTATTTGGTTGCTACATGATCGACGCTTGAAAAAGCCGGCATCTTGATATCAAAGGTGAGGGTCTACCGGACCTCTCCTAAAATGGCTTAAGGATTTCCTGGTAGGTCATAGAAAGAAAGTAAGAATAAACTCCAAGTCTTCTGTCTGGAAACCAGAACTTAGTGGAGTACCACAGGGCTCCGTCCAAGGTCTTTTACTTTTTATACTGTATGTAAATGAACTCTCAAGTATAACTGAGTCCCCAATGTTGATATACACTGATAATGAAAAATCTGGCGAGAAATGACAGGGGACGCAGATGAATGAGCACTTCAGGCAGACTTATTTATTTATTTAAACACATAAATATTGGTACAAGGAAGCACCAGATAAATATGCGCCTAACAAATCTCATTTGATTTGTGTGAGGGCTGTGATACTGCCCAGGTGCCCAGACTGAAGCAGGTGGTTTTCTTAGGGGGCCACACCCGGAGCCTTTGACCTGAATGTCTGATCCACAAGGCAGTGGAGCATCGTGAGGAGATGCAGTCCCATGGTAGCCGGTGATCAACGGTTGATTCGTACGCCATTTGTTCCCTCAGGATACTGGGGCCCATGTGCACCATTGGTTTGGAATCAGGGTTTTCCAACTCCCCTAGGTGAACTTTCCATGTCCACCAACCCGGTTAAAGCGCCGGACATTCGCTTTTCGTCCTCTCACTTTCGTAAACAACACCCCCGCCACGAGAAGGCAGTGAGTAGGACTTCCCTGGCAGAGGCTATATATTCGCGTGGCCATATGAGAGCAATTCGAGAGGGAAAGGTGACGCTACCCACTCTCGGCCGTACCAGGGCATTTGGGCAGACTTAGATATTCTGACTAGCTAGTCTAAAAAATGGATGGTGCCTATCAACGTGGAAAAGTGTGTTTACATGCATTTCGGCGATACAAAGGTAAATAGGTACAGCATAGAGGAGGTGCCTGTACCCATGGCCCGGTCCCACAAGAATCTTGAGGTGACAGTAAGTCACGATCTTAAGACCACGACATACTGCCACGAGGTTGCGGCTAAAAGGGTTTTGGACCCTATAGGCCTTAAGACGGACATTCACCAAGTCAGGCACTCCTATGTTCATTACAGTACACACAATTTTAGTGAGAACTAAACTTGAAAACTGCATTTAGGTTGCAAGCCCTTACTAAAAATGAGTCGGATATCCTGAGAGAAGTACAGAGGTCATCAACCCGTGCAGTGGAGTTGAGAAACCCTGATTCCAAACCAATGGTGAACATTGGCTCCAGGATCCTGGGGGAACAAATGGCGTATGAACCGATCGTTGGTCATCGGCTATCATGGGACTGCATCTCCTTACGATGCACTACTGCCTTGTGGATTAGTCCTCTAGGTCAAAGGCTTCGGGTGTGGCCCCTTAAGAAAACAACCTGCTTCGGTCTGGGCACCCGAGAAGTATCATAGCCCTCACACAATTACATGAAAAGACATTTTTTGTGTGGCGCATATATATCTGGTGCCCCCAATATTTGTGTTCAAATAAATAATAATAACCCGTGCAGTTTCAAAACTCCGGGGTTTACCATATAAAGAGTGGCTGGAAAAGCTAGACTTCTACCCAGTCCAATAGCAGACTAAGAGGTGATCCGATTTTGATGTATAGAATACTGGGAAATTATTTTGGACCTGATATATCCTCTTCTACTTCCTACCAGACCGTGACAACTAGGAGGACATAGCAGGCGAGTAGAAACACCAAGAATGAACAAAGTACTCATGGAATACAGGTTTTCGCACCGAGTCACCAATTCTTGGAACCTGTTACCCGAAGCAGTGGTGTCAGTCAGTCAGTCACAACGTAGAACTTCGTACGTACGTACATCACTTCGAGTTGCCATACCACATTAGCACAGAGATGCAGTTGTTGACTCAAATCCCATAGCGGTAGAAATAGTAAGAGTATAAAAGGTAATCCGAAATATTAGGGTTTGAAGATGCTATTCAGGGGTACAATCCAGTGAAATAAATTTGGGAAGAGAAAAAAAGGAAGGGACATGAGGAATTTAGGAGAACACAAAGAGTGGATGCATTTGTGCCATTGCAAACGATTTTGAGCCATGTCATTCAATGTCTCTAACCATCGATTGCTATCATCTCGCGGATCCCAACCATATAGTCTACACCTACCAACATGGCTCAGTCCAATTGTTAGTGACTTCATGGATTTGTGCCACGTTTTGGTCTGGCCGCCCCTAGCTTTCTTCCAACCTACTCCTACACCATAAAGCATTGCACGTCGGGGCAGTCGGTGGTTGGGCATACGTAACACATGTCCCAGTCACCTCAACTGATGAAGTTTCACTACTTCATCAATCGCTTTGTCATCCTTATCTAGTACCCGTTTCCTAACGACTGCATTACTTACTCGATGATCCCAGGATATACGAGCAATGATTCGAAGACACCTATGGTCGAATACTAGTAGCCTACGAGTATTCTCTACTCTTGCCGGTCATATTTCACTGCCATAAATTAGTAGGACGAAACGAACTGCTGCGCGGTAAGACCGTTCTTTGGTTGCCAGACGGATATCTCGCCTACGTCATAAATGACGCAATTTCACGAAAGCTAGACGAGCCTTCTGTAACCGTGCTGAGATTTTGTCACACACCAGACTACATAGGCTGATGAGACTTTCAACTACTTCACTCCCTATTATTAGTTCAGGTGTCAGTGCAACTCAATCCTGAAGTGACATTTCGCATTTCGAGGGGGAGAATTGCATCTCGACCATGCCTGCATTGTTGATTATAGTGGTCCGAACCTTCAATTGACTCATTTAAGAGAAGACTAGGCACTTACAGAATCATACTAGAAAAGAAATAACATAGGTCTTAAGCCTTCTGTCCTCACTACACAACCAGAATCTCTCATTCTGTCCAACAAAACTTGTGTAGCTTGCTAGGGACTGTCAGCAGTGTGATCCCTTTGGTTAACCGGGACAAGCAGAAATGGAACTTTTGTCACAATATTTTGATTTTATGACGTTTTAAAGAATCACATGAATGCATCACAATCAGCAAGAATAACGGAATGTAGGTGAATCAATAACTTCAGTGCTATGAAGTCCTCATGTATAATTAATTTTGTGCAGGTATAACCAGATAAAATATGATTGCAGTGAGGTAAGATAGTGTAAAGAATGGTCAAGGCATCAATTTAAAATATTTGAGAACTAATTACAAATTTCTTCGTCTATATCTCCATATTTCGAAGGAACTGGGTAAAATTAGGGGCTTTCCTAAAGTCGTAAAAAGGTCACTTTTCCAAAATTCACAGGTTTTTTAAACTGTTTTCTCATAACTTTCCCAAAGTTTTCTATTGCAGCTTCCCCAAAACGTATAAAATTTTGCCCGAGATAGGGAGATTAGCGTAATTTCCAAAACTAGCATAACTATAGAGCGTTTCAAAGTGAGGTTTTCAGAAAATTTCAGAGAAAATAACTCGGGCGCCTAATATTCTATGCACAATTTATTGAAGAAAATCAAAGCAATACATAATTACTAATATCATATCACAAACAGACTAGTGGTTACCAACCTACATGTTTTATTTAGGTTTCATTTGCTTATGAAAATCAAAGGAAATTTGAGCAATTTGATAGTGAAAATAATTGCGCTGCGTTTGTTTTGGAATATTTATGGTGTTCCTCTTACGCGAACAAACGTTAACCTTGACAGTTTCATGAAGATTGATAACCGCGGCTAAAGTCAATTCGTTTCGAAAATGAATAACTCCACTTCAGTCTTCAGTAATAAGGATAGGAGGTCTAGTGACCTATTTTAATCCTTGCAGTTTGTTACACTGTGGAGGTCCAATCTCGTCTTGAATATATCAACAGAAGGTGCTGATATTACGTGTTCTGATAGGGAATTCCAGTAATTAACTACTCGGTGCGAGAAACGAAACTCCAGACGTAGACGATTTGATCTCGGTTTTTGGACTTTCTTTGAATGTCCTCTCAAATGATCAGCCCTAGACGGGAGGAAAAGATAGGACATGTTAGTACCAAGGTCATCGTCCAGGATACGATATACCAATATTAGATCACCCCGTATTCGCCGGTAAGATAACTGAAGTAAGTTGAGGTGTCTCAATCTGTCTTCATAAGATAGGCTAGATAGGCCTTTTACTATTTTTGTCCCGCGGCGTTGGACTCGTTCCAACATATCCGCCTCATATTTGAAACAAGGACTCGCTGCTTGAATCCCATATTCCAAATGTGGCCGTACAAAGTTGGGTATAATAATCTAAACATTTCCCCATCCAGATACCGCAAAGATCTACGAATAGACCATAATACCCTATAGCCTTTTGCAGCAGCAGCCTTACAGTGACTTGGTGTTTTGAGATCATTACTTAGTATGTATCCTAAATCTTTATAGTTTCTTACTTTGGGCAACACTAGTTCACATATTGTGTAGTGATTCGAATCATCGTAGTTATTTAATTGCATCACAACACTTTTATTAGGGTTTACTTCTAATGACTTAAAAGAAAGGTCACATGACCTTTTTTAAACCAATACTTTCCGATACCATGAAAGTCAGTCATCATTATAATACGTTAATATACGGTACCGATTCATTTTTAGTTTGGTCGCGGATTTCAGTGACAGCAAAAAAATGTGGTCAAAAATTTAGGCTTCAACAAGATCTCATTTTTAGTGCTTTTTAATAAAATAATCTTTCAAATTCTTAATTGGAAGTAACTTAAATATTAACGGTATGACTATTTCACAATAACCGTTTATTATCAATAAATCTACTTTAATACGACAAAAAGAAGTTAGGACGTTTTCTCAGTAGAGAGATCAAAAAGACATTCGACCATTTCTATTATCAACCTCGGAGCTGCTTGAAGCACTCGTCTCCTATTTTAAAGGAGAACTATTACCGTTTTATTCCTAATTTGTCTTGTAGTGCCTACTGTTTATTTAATATTTTGACATCCAATTCATTCAAATGGGGTGAGGAATAAGAATCATGCTTGCGAAGTCTGCCAAAGTTTCTTCGAACTTACTCATCCAGTGTACATTCTGTACTTTTTACTGGTGCATCACCTGTGGGTATTTGTGAAGTTTTGGAACAGGAAGGTAGTCCAGTTATCTGTGTTTCACGCAAACTTACTGTCACTGAACAAGGTTATTCACAACCTCGGTGAGAAGCATTAGCTATGTTTTGGGCTGTTAAAAGACTTCATAGATATGTATTTCTAAAGAAGTTTACCAGTGTTACTGATCATGAAGTTTTAGGTTGATTTATCAACCTAAAACGTCCTTAGCACGTTCCTCAGGTGATTCAATGATGGGGTATTGCTTTGAGTGCCTCTGACTATACGGATCAGCACAGGAGTGCCGAACAAATTCAACACATTGACTGCATTTCACAACAGTCATTAAAAGATAGACCTGTCAATACTTCAGACTATTTGTTTGTGCAACCTTTCCAGGCGAGACGTCCAGATCACACTAGGGAAACCCGTATACACTTTAGATGTATATTCAGTGCTATACGGAAAGGTTGGAATGCTAATCTGAAACGTAGATTTCCTGTCTATTATTCAAGGCGGGATGAGTTATCTACTACTCCTGATGATATTTTGTGTCTAAATGACTGTGTTGTTACTCCTCATTTATTATGTAAACCCGTCCTTGAAGATCTTCACAGTGGACGTTTAGATGTTGAGAAAGTGAAGTCCTAGGCAAGACTCACATGTTGGTAGCCAGAGACAAATGCAGATATATGTCATACAGTAAATAATTGTGAAAAATATCACAAGCTGAAAAGTCAGCCTTCGAAGTGGACTCCATGACCAGTATCATCTGAGGGCTGGGGAAGAATTCATACAGACTATGGTGGTTCATTTCTTGGCAAATACTATGTACTTGTATAACTGATTCTTTTTCTACGTGGCCTGAAGTTTTTATCACAACTTCATCAAATTCTGACTTCACAATCGAAGCATTAATGAAGGAGTATAGTAAAGAAGGGGTTTCCATGGTGTTAGTGACTCATAATGGCTTTCACTTCGCTGTGGATGCAGTCACTAATTGGTTGAATGGTATAGGGTGCAGACACCTGTTTATTGCGCTCAGGCACCATTGTTCTAATGGTCAGGCAGAAGGCGCTCGATCATGCATCCGCACCAGATCACGAGTGGGAACGCCGTGTTCAACTTCTCATACAACCGCTAGCCAGTTTAGATCAGTCACTTCTCTATATATTGATAATGTACCAAATATACCTTCCAACCTCCTCGCTTCTGACTTTTGATTTGATTGGGTGGGCACGATTCAATTATAAAAGGTGTTACCATAAAGTGTTGTCACCAAGCTGCATCACAAGACAAGCGCTAACTTGAAGTCCTGAAGGGAAACGGAAAAGAGGAAGGCCAAGGAACACACTACGTTGGGTATTAGAAACCAACAGGAAAAGCTAATGTAAAGTATTGCCCAGGACAGATTTGGATGGTGAATGCTGGTGGGTAGTCTATTCTCATACATGATGGTTAACAAGCGTAAGGAAGTAAGTAGCTTAGTCAACTTGGATAATTATTTCCTAAGAGCATGCCACGATGACAAAAAATTAGGCGTCGTGGTACCCTATGATCTAAAGTTTTACGGTAAATGCGACAAGAAAACCTGTCGAGCTAACCATGCACTCACCACGTTGAAGTGCATTTTCGGCCAGTTTGATGGGAGAAATTTCCAATTTATCTTCTACAGTCTCATACTACCTCATGCAAAGTATAATAACATAGAGTTTTCCTCCTCACTGTGAAAGGATGGGAATACACTAGAACGCATGCAAAGGCAAGCCATAAAATCAGTTTGGCGACTCAAATCACTGAATCTTTATCCACTGAAGTATGTGGGTTTCAGAGGTGACCTTTTTGTGACTTATAGCATCCTAAATATTTCTTGGCATCCCCTTGAATACCTACTTAAGCTCAGTCCAAACACAAACCTTAGGGGTAACATAAAGAAATTAGAGGCTCAGCATGGCAGAAAGAACAGAAGGTATACCTTTTACCCTTTACATGTAGTCAAATCCTGAAATTCGCTGCCGTGTGAGGTGGCGCAAGAAAATTTCAAGGAGTCTTTTGAGAGAAAACTTGACATGCTCTTAAAATTTTAGGACTGTATCTCATAATAGTTTGCCAATTTTCCCCTTCTGTTTTTTAATAATACTTAAGTTAATACACAGAAGCACCAGTGATCCACTGCAACTGAATGTGGGAGCCCATTAAGCTAAAGCCTCCTCTATTCCGTTCACAAACATTCGGAGTTTTTATATTGGACATAGGAGGCAAACCTGCGCGAATTAGAATCAATACTTTATATTGTTTGTCCGCATGTAACATTCGGAACTATATCTCGTTATCGTTCTCGATTTTTTACTTTCGCCTGTTTTGATATAGTAAGGTACGTTGCGTGTACACTGACTATCCCAAAAAATTGGGGACATGAAAGGTGATAAGACTATTAAAATGACTTTAAGACTTAATGCTTTGAAGAAAATAGTAGTGATGGATTTCTAATGTAGCATGCATTTGGAAAACTATGAAACAGATAGTGTTCATGAGTTTAATTTGTTTCTTTCAGTAGCACAATTTGAGAAGATAAAGTCAATCTTGATGCTATCGTTAGAAAATTCACCTAGTTTGCAAACTGCGGTCTTGAATTCGAGTCCTATCCAACCTACTTTGTTTTGTGATGTGGGGCAACATCATCAACCGTTAGCCAAATGGTGTGACTCATGACTTAGCTCATAAACATGTGTTTGTGTGTTGAGAGAAATGATGAATTCTCTTATATCAGATTATCAGGTTGTCTCCACCTACGCTCCAATGTCAGCTCATGAAACATTTTTGAAGTGGATGATAAAAGATACTTGCCTAATATCATCTCCAAAAGTTTATGACGTGACTAATGCTTAAGTACTTTCATGAAGATAAGTAACTGGGACTGATCCATACATTACCAGTCTTATATGAATTTTAAAGCATCTAAATACTATTTCTCCAGGAATGAGTTTCAGTATCATTAGACATTTAGCTTTTATCCTTTTTATCATATGACCACATGTAATCCCTTCTCTTGCGCCTGTTATGTTTCTTCACAACCAGAGATTACAAACTATGCCCACCTGACTAACTTGTAAAAAACAAAATAAATCCTGATTTACTCTACGTAAGAAAAATACAGACTTTCAGAACCGAACAGCTTATAAAATTAATGGTTGTATAAACCTCAGATTGATACGCTTGTGCACTAAGCTAATTATACGTGAAACGTGACCATTAAGCGTATACGATACTCGTAAGTTACTGGTATTTGACCACAGATGCCTTAGAAATATTGCTCGCATCTACTGAGATCACCCGGTAAGTAATAGTGAGGTTAGACACATGGTATTAGAGAATGATGGTAAATCAGTTGATGAGGCTATGAATCTTCATCGACTGAGATGGTTGGGCAACGTGTTACGTATGCCTGAACACCGATTACCACAACGCTCTGTGGCGACTAGTATTGGGGATGGTTGGTAGAGAGTTAAAGGCAGCCAATCCAAAACGTGGCATCAGATCTTGTAGTCACTAACTTCTAGTCTGAGCCATGTTGGTAGATGCAGACTACTTGGTTGGGGTCCGCGTGATTATCGTAACCAATGGTTGGAGACTGGGTGACATGGCTCAGAATCGATCACAATGGCGTAGGTGTATACACTCTTTATCTTCCCTTAAACCTTGAGATTAAAATTGTTTCATAACTTTTTTCCTTCCTATACTATCTCCTTATATACAACCTTTCTCTATATACTACCACCACTAAATTAACTACTATGAATTCAGTGTTGATTTTGTTGTGCTAACGAGGTATTGCAACTTGGACCGATGCATATATGTGCCTGGTCCTACATTGTAGTTGACTGACTGGAGTTAATTATACTCAACCTCAATCCCAATACGGTGAGTGAGATTTTCTGTCCTTTCTACCTGTTAGATAGGGTTTTTATAGAAGCTTTCTTGATAGAGAACCTGGAGAAATTCATTTGTATTCAAGTTTGTCGGATTATATATATCGGTTACACAAGGAGTATTGATAAGAGAAGTATACAAACTCACCAGTTCTTACTGAACACAAAACCACAGTGAGTTAACCAGTGCAAACGAAAACAGGTCGAAAATCAAATTAACTTCATATTAAATTAAATAATGCAACAAGAAATACACTAAAATTCAACAAAATAATTCATTTAGAGTAATCACAGTAATGTGTGAAGAGTTAGCTGATCAAAAACCACCTTAGATCGATATGCAGATTTCTATAGGCTGATTTTGTTTCTCCAATGTAATTAGAGGCGTTACATTCTCAACGCATGCCTAACATTAAACGAATTGGTCTAGTATCACTGTTATTACAGTTGGCCAAAAAATAAACCATAATCTCAGCTGCTAAACGGTCTTGAAACCACCATCATAGTTTCACTCAATAGACGTTTTGCAAAAAAGTACGTTAAACATCACAAATGTTTCTAAAGAAAGCTAATTCTACCTCATTCAGGTCGTTTAAACTTTAAATACAGTTACATCAACCTATGGTATTTTTAGTAATTAATTGTTATGTCCATTAACAGAATTTCTCATCCTATTTTTGTCATTATCGCGTTAAGTTATTGTCAAACTAATATTTTCAGTGCCCTGCAATCGGTCGAAATATCTGCTATATTCTAGGATTTGTCACAATCAACGTGTTCCAATGTCTCACAAAAAACACAAGCAAGAAAGAAAGCATAAGAAATCAAGCACTGATGATTCTGTAAGTTCTTGTGTAACATATCCAACCATTAGTTCAGTCATCGGAAAGCGATTATGAATGGAAACAAGATGATCGAAATCTACAAGAAAAATCTACTGAACGAAATGACGTACAGGTAAGGCGAGATATTTTCAATAATCAGTCGTTTGTATTTTAGGAAAATAATTGGATCACTGATGTTAAATCTCTGGACTGCTTTTTTGATACATTCAGTTCAAAGCCAAGTGGGAATAAAACAGCGAAAAGTAGTCAGTATAATAACTACAAAATAAATGAGCTCAATCCTTATTTGAAAGATGGAGGGAGTGGTTTACCAGATAGTGAAACTTCTTCAAAATCTGTTTTGACAGACGACAATCAATCATGGCTGTACAAGTCATTCATACGTTGTGTTGACACATCTAAAGAGACGGGTGTTAGTTTAAGAAGTGTATTGCTTCAGCGTTGGGATGAAGGTACTGTGAATGATATGTTGAATAGATTCGGAGATAGACATGAAAACAGCAAATGGTAATTAACTATTCGTAACCATATTTTATTTCACTATGAAACTAGCCTTTATTTTCATGTTTACTCTTATGGATTATTTTCATTTCCCATCTACGAGGTGTGAAGTCTTACTAACTTGGTTTTATTGAGGAATGTAAAGCAGGATAGGAAATAACTGCAGCAATTACAAGCTGAGTAACAATTCATAAAACTTTCAAGCTTTACTTTATTTAGTTTTGTGAATATTAACCAAGCTACCACCTCTTATTTTATGATGTCAGTCCACATAGCAATCGTCTTGGTTTTTATATATGATTGTAGAATCAAATAAAATTTATTGTATTCTGAGATCAAAATTTCACAACATAGTACTAGACTGACAAAACTAGTTACCAGGGTAGTCTCATCATAATATGTCTTTGTATAAGAGTCTCAGTGTCACCAAGTTTCTCACTAACGTACTATTTAACGAATATTTAACCTGAGTTGTGGTAGCAATTTTTTCTCCTAACTTCATTTATTTAAATGTTACTTATTTTCCTCTTTTTCTTTGACGTAGATGCTACTCGGGCCAGTAGGGTGAAAAAAATTAAACTTAGCGTATTTATGTTCTTAACTCTCAATATGAGTAATGCAACTGAATTAATCAACCTATATTGGCAAATGTTTCTAGACTCAAGTTTTATTGCGTATACCAATACTTGTTAAAATATTGGTATTTCTGGCTAATTAGCTTAGTACTAAAGCAAAACCAATATTAAATTTCCTAAGAATTTCAAGCTCAACACCCCTATACGTATTTGCTTACTTTGGCTAAGACGTAACCTTCATGACAGTTTGGACTTCCCTGACAGAGGCTATATACGCGTGGCCATGTGAGAGCATTTTGGGAGGGAGAGCGGACTCTACCCCACCAGGGCATTTGGGGGCCTTCTCGTGGCGGGGGTGTTGTTTACGAAATTGAGAGGACGAAAAGAGAATGTTCGGTGCTTTAACCGGGCCGGTGAGCACGGCGAGTCCACCTAGGGGAGTTGGAAAACCATGATTCCAAATCGATGGTGCACATGTGCATTAGTATCCTGAGGGAACAAATGGCGTATGAACCAATCGTTGGTCACCGGCTACCATGGGACTGCATCGCTTCACGATGCTCCACTGCCTTGTGGGTCAGATCTTTAGGTCAAAGGCTCGGGGTGTGGCCCCCTATGAAAACCACCTGCTTCAGTTTTGGCACCTGGGCAGTATCCCAGTCCTCACTCAAATCAAATGAGATTTGTGTGGCGCATATGTGTTCGGTGCCCTTTTGTACCAATATTTATGTCTAAATAAATAAATAAATCATGACCGTCTAGCTGTTAACTCACACAACGACACTTTGTGTTTCGGTTTTACGCAGTAAATTAGTATCAATAGCCCTCATACACGAAAGTATGACTCAAAGCTAACTATATAACCATGTACTTCGAAAATAAATATAGATTAGTTATCTTATAGATTAGTAATTGATTATTTTGAAAATGGATTATAGGGTTGTAAATTACGACATTGTTGGAGAATAAATACATACACTTATTATCTGCGTAAAGATTCATATGTATCAGGCTATGCACCCTACTTACTAATGTCAAAAGTTATCAATAATATCCATTTACTACAAACCAACATTAATTGCAAAACAATCAGAAGCAAATAAATTTTCTGTATTCTAAAGTCCATCTTATAACAGCCTGTCAGAATCAACGGGAATATTCGTAGCAAAGTTTGAGAAATATAATTGATTCTCCGGTTACTCGTAAAATTGGTAATTTTAGTTATTGTTGAGCAAATATATTTAATTTCATTGTCATTTTCATTATACTCTGGTTAAAGTAGACCGAATGATTTGCTGTTATATATAAATTCATCTGAAATGACAGATTTGCATTTCAAGTGAATGCTTTCGGTATGAAATAGGTGATGAAAATGTCCAGAATGACAATAAAGGCTTCGCGATTAGATCATCTAGCTTAAAGAACTCAATATTACTGTGAGAATTTATCTATATTTTTAGAAGTATATCTACGTTATCGTAACAGATTTTTAGTATGTAACACTGATCATCATTTCTTCGCTTTTAATACCTTTTCAGTTCCCGATCGCAACATAATTCTAACACATGTGACATGAAACCACGGTGGCGTAAATCCCAGACTACTAATCCTACTACTGATAAAAATGGAAAATCATCCTCTCATTTACAGTCAAAAAGAGTTTATTCACCCGAAGATACTGGTATGCTTCTGTCTAAAACGACTTAATTAGTTTGTTCATTTTTGTTTTTCTTGTTATTTATATGTATTTTTTATCGATTTTCTTACTTTGGGGATTATTTATTTATTTTAACACAGATATTGGTACAAGGGAGTACCAGATATGTATGCGCCACACAATAACAATGAGAATGGGAAGAGAAAAAGAATGTAACGTGCGTATAAGAGAGAAGACAAAAAACAGTAACGACCATATATTAGTGTATGGGAGTGTAGTAATAGTAATAATAATTGGGAAAGCGGAAAGGTACAGCTGGAAAGAATTATTTCATTTAGGGAAGTTACAACCACTTTTTTATGAAGAAAGTAAGAGGTTACAGCAGGATCACCACTGGCTTCTATTCTGAGCCATATCTGATAACGTCTCTAGCCACTGTGTTGCACCATCTCTCGGACCCCAGCCAGGGAGTCGTGAAGGACCAACAGAAGCCAACCCTTTGCAGCTTTCTTTCATACCACGACACCATGTCATACACTGAGCTCCTCTCCGCTTTTTCTAACCAGTCCCAGTGTCGGCAAATAATGCATGACAAACAATTCTCTGGGACGACATTCGTAGAACATGTCCAAGCCACCGAAGTCGGTGTTTCAAGATCGTGACACCTAATTGATTGTCGTCTCTGCCCCCGAACACACGATGCCGAACCTTGGCATTTCCACTTAATGTCAGCAATCTTCCGGAGACAACGATGATCAGATACAGAGTCTTCTAACATCCTCAACTCGGAGAGGCCAGGTTTCACAAGCATAGAGCAAAACTGCTCTCACCGACGCGTTGTAAATCCGACCTTTTACAGCCAGACTAACATCACGAAGGCGCCAAAGATGGCCCAGATTGTCATAAGCCGCTCTGGTTTTCACTATATGTGCATCGATCTCATCACTCACGCCCCCGCCAGCACTTATATAGCTACCTAGATACACGAACTTCTTAACTACTTCAATCTGCTCACCACCCAGGGTGAGCACAGGATTAGAATCCTGCCATTCTTGTAGGAGTACTTTGCACTTGGAGGGTGCAAAGCACATGCCGTACCTGCGGACACTGATTGCCAACTGATTAAGTACAGATTGCATGGCTCGGGCACTATAGCACAATAAGACGATTTCATCCGCATACGCAAGATCGAGAAGTCTTTCTCCAGGCAGCAGATCCACACCGCCATTACTTACATCCATCAGAGCTGTTTCCAGAATGTCGTCGATTGGGAAAGTTGATGAGGAATGGTAAGATTGGGCAACCCTGTCTAACCTCACTGCTTGAATGGAACAATGGAGAGAAGTGGTTGTATGCCCTCACTCTGCCTGAGGTGTTCGTGTACAGGGCCTTTAAGGTGTTAATGAACTTCACAGGCACACCCTTCTTGAATAGACAATCCCAGAGAACAGTCTTGTCCAACGAATCGAAGGCCGCCCTGATGTCAAGAAACACTACGATTGTTGGCCTGCGATAAGTATGACGGTGTTCTAACATTTGGCGGAGGGTGATATTATCACCTTGGAGAGAGTTGTGTCAAATATGCAAGCTATATCACCGATGCCGTATTAGTTCAAAATCATCACCCTTTATCACAATTTTTTTCTACTATTGATGTTGAAAATGTAAACCTGGTATCTTTTGATTTAGTAGTCTAAAGAATGCCATGCTTACCTTGGCATTTGAATTCCAACACTCTGTGAGGGCGACGTAGGTGCACGTTACTGAAGTCTCAAACAAAAATAAAACGGCTATTCATTACCCGTCCTAGTTTTCAAATATTCAATTACTACTGTCAGTTCATGATGGAACTATATTGAGCTGTATAATGTCTTTATACCAATGCGTTTATTTGTTTATTACTTACTTACTTTCGCCTGTTACTCCCGATGGAGCATAGGCCGCCGACCAGCATTCTCCAACCCACTATGTCCTGGGCCTTCTTTTCTAGTTCTATCCATTTCTTGTTCATTCTTATGTCTGTCTCTATTTCTCGGCGTAATGTGTTCTTTGGTCTTCCTCTTCTCATTTGACCTTCAGGATTCCATGTGAGGGCTTGTCTTGTGACGCAATCGGGTGATTTCCTCAAAGTGTGCCCTATCCACTTCCAGCGCTTCCTCCTGATTTCTTCCTCTGCTGGAATCTGGTTTGTTGTCTCCCACAGTAACTTGTTGCTGATAGTGTCTGGCTATCGGATCCGTAGTATATTGCGTAGACAACTGTTGATAAACACTTGTATCTTCTGGATAATGGCTTTCGTAGTTCTCCACGTCTCCGCCCCATACAATAGAACTGTCTTGACATTTGTATTGAAAATTCTAACCTTGGTGTTGGTTGACAATTGTTTTGAGCTCCAGATGTTCATCACTTGTGAACATGCTGCTCTTGCTTTGCCGATCCTCGCCCTCACATCTGCATCTGATCCACCGTGTTCATCAATGATGCTGCCCAGATATGTAAAGGTTTCCACATCCTCCAAAGCTTCTCCGTCAAGTGTAATTTGATTGGTGCATATTGTGTTGTATCGGAGAGTCTTGCCTTTCTCTTTGTTTTTATTGAGACCTACTGCTGCTGAGGCTGCTGCTACACTGGTTGTTTTCTCCTGCATTTGTTGTTGCGTTTGTGATAGAAGAGCCAGATCATCCGCGAAGTCTAGATCGTCAAGTTGCATCCTGCCTGTCCATTGTATCCCGTACTTTCCTCCAGTCGTTGACGTTTTCATGATCCAGTCGATTACCAGGAGAAAGAGAAACGGTGAGAGTAAGCAACCTTGCCTAACACCGGTCTTTACTTCAAACGAGTCGGTGAGCTGTCCTCCGTGGACTATTTGGCAGTTTAGTCCATCATAGGAGTTCCGTATGATATTGACTATTTTCTCAGGCACGCCGTGGTGTCGAAGAAGCCTCCATAATGTCGTCCTGTCCACGCTATCAAATGCCTTCTCGTAGTCGATGAAGTTGATGTAGAGTGATGAATTCCATTCGATTGATTGTTCCACAATGATACGTAGAGTTGCGATTTGATCTGTGCACGATCTATCCTTACGAAATCCAGCTTGTTGATCTTGAAGTTGGGCGTCTACGGAATCCTTCATCCTGTTTAACAATACCCTGTTGAAGACTTTTCCTGGTATTGAGAGGAGAGTGATGCCCCTGTAGTTGTCGCACTTGCTAAGATCACCTTTCTTTGGTATTTTGATCAGAAGTCCTGTTTTCCAGTCTGTTGGTACTTGTTCTTTGTCCCAAATCTTACTGAAGAGGATGTGTAGTATCTTGGCAGTTGCTGCTACATTTGCTTTCAGTGCCTCTGCCGGGATGTTGTCTGGTCCCGCTGCTTTGCCGCTCTTGATTTGTGTAATGGCCATGCTGATCTCTTCAATTGTTGGTGGGCCAACATCGATTGGGAGGTCTGTGGGTGCTTTGTTTATACTTTTCAATTATAAAAACTAATATCACCAGCAGGTTTATTAAATAGAACTTTCAGGAAAAAAAATTAAAGAAAATAATCACTCTTGTATGATATTTAGTTGTGCGTTTACCAATCAATTATAATTTTTGAATACGCAGTGCAAAGTTATACCATTGGTTTTATTGTTTAGTTTTCGAAAATGAATTGTTTAAATTCAAACACGTCATTCTGTCTTTGGTAGCTGATCAACGTACTGTTTTCACAAGAGACCCCTATTTGGGTGGATATTATCCACTCGTTGAAATTTTATCTGATTACTAGGTAATTAATTATTTGTTACTTACGCCTGTTACCCTCAATGGAATATAGGCCGCCGACTATCATTATCCAACCCACTCTGTCCCGGGACTTCCTTTTTAGTTCTGTCTAACTGTTGTTGGTTTGGATTATTTTCTTCTGGTTAGCGTCTTTTTAGCGAGTTGGTTTTCTACGGGGTGGGGTCGCTAACCCCATGCCAATTCTCCTCCTTTATCCGGGCTTGAGACTGGCAGTAGCCCCAGAGGGGCTCTAGGCAGAGTTTAATTTGTCACACGAATTAAATAACTATGTCACGTCATCATATACTTCCAAGATTAATGGCAGTTAGGCTACAGATTACTAGGATAGAGGTTATAAATAATTGTTTTATCAATACGTTTTTGATATTTTTTGTGAACGGTATATGTATGTGTTTAGTGTGTAAAGAGTCTATTTTTGAAAGTTTTGTGAATTTAAGCCCCATTTTTGATCTCGTGATTTATTCACCAATCGAAATACGACTTATCCAATCCTAGCACTGTACCAAACCAAGGACATTCGACCTGTATGAGCAGCCCTAGCATCTTTATTGGTCCTTTGCTCGCCTAGCCCGTCCACGTGAGTCCAGAACACCAATAACAGCTCCTACTATGCGAACCACTTATTTCAGACATACTTGGTTTATATACAAAACAAACAGACCACATCACACCATAAAACAGGAATTAAAATTTGTACAAGATCAGGCCAAAATGTGGCTGTGAACGTAGGAGACAGTGATTAATAAACGGAGTATAATTTAGGAACAGTAAATCGTATAATAATAATCTATGGGTCAAAATAAAGTTTATAATAAGATGAATATAGTTACACACAATCTAATTACTGAAAAGTTATACAATAAGAATATTTATAGAGTATTAGTCCAATAATAGATTTCCGAAGTTACCCGTACTTTAATCTTCACTAGGACATAACAAGTTTCTAAGCGGTAATGCAGACCGGTGACATCAATATGTTGTGTTATTCAGTTTAATACATCGTGTAGCACATATATTTGCGTACTTTGCTGGTAATTTCACTCTGTTGAATTCTATTTCAAGCACTCGGCGTTTATTCTTCATTTGGATCTATTCTTCAGTTTTAGCTTCAGGGGTCAAATGATCGAAAAAGGTATTTGGCTCAGGAGAAAGATTTTTGCGATGTTTCGTCCTCTAAGCTTTATGATTTGGTCGTGCTTCTAAAAGAAAGAAGCTATTAGGACGTCGACGGTTGAGTAACAGCTTATCATATTGACATGGTATTCACTTGTTGTCCACATGTATATTGTCAGTGTTTGCACAATTTCTTTGATTGTTTTCTCCCCTTGCCTGATTTCTGACCTTAAAGCTGTTTATGAAACAAAAAGGAATGATCAAAATGAGTGTACAAACATCGAAAATATGTATATGGACAACCATCAAATTCCATGTTAACAGAATAAACTGTTGGTCAACTATGGGATTCCTAGTGGCTTACTTCTTTTTGAAGCACGTGTTGATCATGTTGTCTAGAAAGGCAATAAAAGCTTCATGATTAGACCTTTTCGCTCACAAAACACAACACTTTCGAAAACGGTAGAATGGTTAAAGCTACCGGTCGATATTACCAATTTCTCCAGTTATTTCTATCTCTCTACAATAAAGGAATATGATATCTCACATCTTACATTATTTTGTGTTTACTTCGTCGTTGATCGTGGTAAAGAAAATCAAGTGTTCAATTAACTCTTAGTTCCTGAATATTAACTGTCAAAAATAAATTGTGCATATACTTCACTGAATCAACTATAACCAGTCAGTCAGCGACAACGTAGGACCAGGCACATATATGCATCGGTCCAAGTTGCAATACCTCGTTAGCACAACAAAATCAACACTGAATTCATAGTAGTTAATTTAGTGGTGGTAGTATATAAAGAAAGGTTGTATATAAGGAGATAGTATAGGAAGGAAAAAAGTTATGAAACAATTTTAATCTCAAGGTTTAAGGGAAGATAAAGAGTGTATACACCTACGCCATTGTGATCGATTCTGAGCCATGTCACCCAGTCTCCAACCATTGGTTACGATAATCACGCGGACCCCAACCAAGTAGTCTGCATCTACCAACATGGCTCAGACTAGAAGTTAGTGACTACAAGATCTGATGCCACGTTTTGGATTGGCTGCCTTTAACTCTCTACCAACCATCCCCAATACTAGTCGCCACAGAGCGTTGTGGTAATCGGTGTTCAAGCATACGTAACACGTTGCCCAACCATCTCAGTCGATGAAGATTCATAGCCTCATCAACTGATTTACCATCATTCTCTAATACCATGTGTCTAACCTTACTATTACTTACCGGGTGATCTCAGTAGATGCGAGCAATATTTCTAAGGCATCTGTGGTCAAATACCAGTAACTTACGAGTATCTTCTACTCTTAATGGCCTTGTTTCGCAGTCGTAAAGTAGAACAGAGCGAACTGCTGCGCAATATACTCGTCCCTTAATTGATAGACGGATATCTCGCCTTCGCCATAGGTGACGTAAGTTGGCAAAGCCAAACGAGCTTTTTGAATCCGTGCTGAGATTTCGTCAGACACCAACCCATTAGGGCTGATCAAACTTCCAAGGTAAGTGAAGTTGTCGACGCGTTCGACTACTTCACTCCCTATCCTTAGTTCAGGTGTTGACGCAGGCCAGTCCTGGAGTAACAATTTACATTTGGATGGGGAGAAATGCATCCCAAACTTCCTGGCATTATTACTGAGTTCCAACAGAAGACTCTGCATTTTGTCAGCATCTTCATCAAACAGGACTATGTCATCTGCGTATTCTAAGTCGATAAGTGAACCTCCTGGTAGAAGATCAATTCCTGAAAATTCAGTCGACGAGTGTTATTTCCAGCAACAGGTCTATAATGAAGTTAAACAAAAATGGGGATAGTGGACAGTCTTGTCGGACACCACTTGAGGTTGCAAAATCACATGACAGTTCGCCATAAGCTCTCACTCGACTGATAGTGTTCGAGTAAAGAGCCTTCACAAGGTTTATGTACTTCTCAGGTACATCTTTCAATGACAGACACTGCCACAGAACCTCTCGGTCTACAGAGTCAAATGCTGCTTTCAAGTCAAGAAAAACTATCATTGTCGGACGCCGATAAGCATGTCTGTGCTCTAAAACTTGACGAATGGTGAATATGTGGTCGATATAGCCACGACCAGGTCTGAAGCCAGCCTAATTTTCTCGTGTTTACAGTTCACGAATCTTTGTTGGGCGCCTGATAATTATTGAGGCTAGTATTTTAGATGCTATGTTGGTCAGACTAATCCCCCTATGGTTATCACAGGATGATTTTGGCCCCTTCTTATATATTGGGACAATCAGAGATTGTGACCAGTCAGATGGGATTACGTCTCCAACTATAACCTGTTGATCATGAGATGTAAACGCAGTCTTTTATACATCGTCGACCGTACATACAATTAAGACTTAAAAGAAAACAATTATCTAACTCTCTGTTGTTTTAATAATCGTTCTCTAGTTTATATCAGTTCATGAGAATAGCTGTTTTTAGTTAATAAGCCATAGTATAACATTTGTAAGGGTTTGTATTTTTCCATTGCATATGTCGTGAAACAATTTATTTGGATTCAGTTGCTTAGTAGATAAATCGTTGTTCATGTCTAAAGTGATAAGTGTCGTGTGAAAGATCAGCATTGTGATTTATGTGCATCTCACTAGCTAATTCCAAATAGACCCAGACTGACATTCTAGGTAGCCACAATCCAGCTTAACATACTACACTTCATGCATAACTATTTCTCACTGTGCCGGCTCGGGATAACAACTTCAACGGATTCACATGTAAGCCAGGTTCTACGTTGTGCATGACTGACAGTCAGATATAATTATTCTTATTCTGTAATCGTCTTACAAGTTACATTGTTTAATGATTAATTAACATCTTGTAACTCGTAGAATCATTATCAAAGCAAAAAGAATTAACCATGGAATCAGAGGATTCTACCAATGATTGTCAAGGAACATTTGAAGAACGTTTAGTTACAAATGATGACATAAATTCAATCGCTGCAAAGGTGATGCGAGCAGAATTGGAATCGAATCCTGTAAGAGATAATTAATGGGGTAAAGTGTTGTTTCATACTATGTTCACCGCAAAATTTGCAGTTTTTGTTTGTTTGACAAATTTAACTTTTTTGCCTAAACACTTTGTTACGTAGTCATTAGTTTCATCTTCCGCTTACTTTTAGAACGTCGACTTACTGGTTGTAGCACTTTGTTTTCAGCCAACATTAAACTAATCAAACATGACATCAGTGATTTCTAAATAATCACTTATTACTATTCCCCTAGTCAAAAAATGTTACATTAGAAGTGACTTGTCCCATATTTACTATTTCAATCTTTCTTATCTGACTAAAAGATTTTTGTTATTGAAGTTAATGCGTCTCAAATTTCAATTTCTGTTGGAGAATCTTATATAGTCAAAAAGGTGACATTCAAACCTCAGTACAAAAATTCTGTATGATAAATAAACCGGAATAATATTACCGTGTATATTATCAGTAAGAATAATTGATCCATTATCTCACACAATCTACTAGCTATGCTATGTATGTCAAAATGATTCACCTCAATCGATGTACAACCAAATTTTCAACCGTTTTTATTAAGTTCACATAATTTAATGAGAAATATTGATACTTTTTTAGTCTTTTATTGTCTCTGCCAAAGAAAATAATGATGTTCAATCCTAGTTTACAATTGACTTGGGGATACTTTGGTCAAAATTATATAAATATGAAAAGGAAATAAAAGGTCACATGAATTTATGATTTCAGGCCGTTTAAGAAATTGCAGCGTGTATCTTAGCGGGACATAGATTAGATTAAAGCATGTTCCATGCACGATTGTGCTGCTGCACGCTGATTGGCTAATTCTTATCCAATCAGCGCTAATCGATTCTTGGAAAAGACTCTAGAATCTACTCATGCAAAAAATTGTAAATATACTAACGTATTCCTTATTGCGCTTCTTACGTCCATCTATCCTTGTTACTCGGAATATAATTTCTTTCCCTATTCAACCGTGTTCTGATTCGGGGACTTGTCAAGTGTATTGATGTCCAAGAATACTAAGCAATAGGAATAGCTGGGTCGTAATAAGGAGAATATATAAACACTTATGACAGTGTAGTAACAAAATTTCAAAAAACAAAATTGTAATACTGAAAATGTGAGATCTCTGATGGTATCTCCTTCAGAGAACGCTAAGTCTATTACTGAATTTGAACTAAATTTTTTTAGTTCATATGTTGTTCATTATCATAAATAAAAGTATCTCTTCTTTTTAGAAAAAAAGAAAATGGTTTTTATATCATTTGTTGATATTTTTGAAATTTATTTTTAATTATAAATAGGTGAAAGTAGAAAAATTAAAAGCAAATTTAGAAAAATTACGTGAAGCTATGCGTCGTGGTATTAAAGTACGAATTCGTACTGTACAAAGGAATAAAACAGTCCATAATCAGTCAGGAAACAATCAGTCTAAAATAATAGCATTAACACGTTTAAATGATCAAGGCATTGAAATACCAGTACATATACGTAATCTTCCAGGAACTTCACATACCAATGATAAAAAGTATGCTTTTGTTTTTAGGTATTTTCTTTATTTGCAATTTATTCATGCACTGAAAAAAAATTGTGTGCTATAACTCTTTACATCAACTTCACGTTCAATTATTTGACTAAAAAGAATTTAAACTCATTTTACTCTTTTTATGCAAATAAGGAATATTGATAACTCTTGAAATCCAAGAAATCTTTGTAGAATAATGCAGAGTGGAGTAGCTGATAATATATATAGTAAATGAGGTCTTATCATTATCATCGATCTCTAACTTTCTTACTCTAATTCTCTAGCTCACGCATTGTGTCTATATAGAATATTTTGATTACTAAGGTTAAAATTGTCAGTGAAACTCATGCTGATCTGAACTATATCTGCTAGCTTGACACGATTGTTATTCTTGGCCATCATGAAAACTCAGCCAAGCTATATTAAATGAATCACTCCTTTCTAGAGGTTCCATTATGTCAAGTAGGTCGGTCAAAGAGCGGTAGAACTAAGAACAATAAGCTTAAAATCTGAAGTCCAAATCGTACTGCCTACTGTCCTGAAGTGTTTTATTTATATATTTGAACACATAAATATTGGTACAAAGGGGCACCAGATATATATGCGCCACACAAGTCACTTGATTTGTGTGTGGGCTACGATACTTCCCGAGTGCCCAAACTAAAGCTGGTGGTTTTCCAAGGGAGCCGCATCCGGAGCCTTTGACTTAAAGGTCTAATCCACAAGGCAGTGGAGCAACGTAAGGTGATGCAGTCCCATGGTAGCCGGTGACCAACATTAGGTTCATACGCCATTTGTTCCTTCAGGGTACTGAGGCCCATGAACACCATTGTTTTGGAATAAAGGTTTTTCCAACTGTCCTGGGTGGATCCTCCGTATCCACCAACCCAGTTGAAGTGCCGAACATTCTCTTTTCGTCCTCTCAATTCCGTAAACAATACCCCCGCCGCGAGAAGGCAATGAGTAGAACTTCCCTGGCAGAGGCTGTCCTTGAATGTGATAGCAGTAAGGTGTTTCTTGCTGATAACCACCATCTCTAATGATACTTCCTTTTCATTAAGAAAAAGGGTTGAATAATCAACCATATTCATCTCGTTAGTTTATTTATAGTGTGTTGGCAACTTAAACTAATCTGCATCTGTGTCAGAGTTTGCGTTGGGATCGACTGGCTGATTCATGCATATGTATGTACGGTCTTTCAACCCGTAAGCTTTTTCTATTCAACTGTAGAAAATATCAAGCCATCCATATAAGTGTTTAAAATGTATGTGCTTGTGCATGCATTGCAACACACTACATGATGTTCTTCATTAGTAATATTTACTTCAAAACATATTTGTTCTAACAAGCACATTACATTTATTTAATGTTGTATTATCGAAATCATGCAATTATTGACTTCAATTTTTGATTGATTGATGTCATTTTCCAGCTTACAACGTTTTAAATCTCATGACTCAACTGGACAACGGATAGCCTTCTTCCCAGAAGATAATGAAAACCAACAAGTTGCGGATATGATACGTGATGAACGTTTACATTCAGCCAGTGATATGGATTTGGAATTTTCAAGACTTTCTAGAAAGGTGAAATGCTTTTGTTGTCAACTTTATTCTGTAAACAAAGTTACATATAATACCCATATATAATACATGAACTGTCTAGTACCTTCGCAAACTGAGCTGGTTACTAAGATTGTGATGGTGGTCCTCAATCATTTAATCGATAAGCCAGATCGTGCTTCCTATTAATCATACAACCTTATATTATTGATCTCTTCTGAGTTAGAAGTGCTGGTATAGTGTAGAGATCACGAAATGTAGAGAACGCGAAATGATGAGATGATTGACAAACCTGACTTCCACAGAAACAGAAGCTGGATAATTGTAATAAATATAGATGAGAAGTATTTTACAGACGTGTAAAATTAATGTAATCTATTGAACTTCGGTTTAGACAGAGTGATATTACTAATTACTAGTCATGTACACTACTAACCGTGTATACAGATCTATAATTTAGTACAAATAAGTTATGTTCGACACAAGTTCACTAATTTAAAGTACTCAGGTCACTTAAACCAATATCTGTCTTAACTGCCATACTATTATGTTAATTTCTATGTTGTTTATTTATTTATCTCTAATAATTGTAAGCTCTTACACGGTATTTATTTAAATGTATACGTTTTTAGAGTGTTGAAGATGAATACACTGATGCTTTTGTGAAAAAACGAGTAAATGCTGAAAAAGAAGCTATTAAATGTAAACAGGATGCTGTATCATGTAGGTTTACCGATTAGGCTATGGGGTTGTGTGTATGTCTATTTTGTCATTTATTTTCAATCTGAAGTATAGACGTGACTTTTTCTTCGATTAAACGAGCTCCAATCCTCATAAAAGATCAGTTCTCATTACTGTTTATATCCTAATGGTTGTTTCCAAATAAAATATCTCTTTCCATATGTGGGACATAATAATCAAAACAGACGAAGTGAGTTTTGAATCTGTAGTTCTATCAATCCTTGAAACAAACCGTTTAGATATGACCCTCAAAGACTAATAAATTTCGATTCATTTTTCCCAGAATATAAACATTTATTAGAATCACAGTTAAATTGAAACTTGATAACATCAAAATATAAATTCGCTAACGACTTTTTTGTAGGTGCAGAACAAGTAATTTATACCATTGTAGTTTATTTCTGCATACTGATCTATAGAACTACAAAATGTTTAATAGTCGAAAAAGATAACCTCATTTTACTAGTAAACTATGATGAAATAATTGAATTAGTTGTTTTCTGTAAATCCCATCGACCTACTTGAATATCTGGACTACTTGTTCCTGCAGCCCCCAAATGCCCTGGTACAGCCGAGAGTGGGAAGAGTCCGCTCTCCCTCTCGAAATGCTTTCACATGGCCACGCGAATATATAGCCTCTATCAGGGAAGTCCTACTCACTGGCTTCTCGTGGCGGGGGTGTTGTTCAAGAAATTGAGAGGACGAAAAGCGAATGTCCGGCGCTTTAACCGGGTTGGTGGACACGGAGGGTCCACTTAGGGGAGTTGGAAAACCCTGATTCCAAACCAATGGTGCACATGGGCTCCAGTATCCTGATGGAACGAATGGCGTATGAACCTATTGTTGGTCACCGGCTACCATGGGACTGCATATCCTTACGATGCTCCACTGCCTTGTGGATCAGACCTTTAGGTCAAAGTCTCGGGTTGTGGCCCAATATGAAAACCACCAGCTTCATTTTAGGCACCTGGGCAGTATCACAGCCCTCACACAAATCGAATGAGATTTGTGAGGCGCATATTTATCTGGTGCTTCCTTGTACCAATATTTATGTGTTTAAATAAAATAAAATTAAATAACTTGTTCCTGCCATCTAGATATTTCAACAAGTTATCTGTTTTTGTTTGTTTTAACACACCATTATGTCTGTAAATCGCACAGCCTGTTCATGTGCGTTTATGGAAAGTTTACGATCTTTGGCTGTACAAACAGCCCAATCAGAGACATCGTGGTTGCTGGAAATGTGTATCGAAAAGAATATACATTATTCCATTCCTGTACTGCTAACATCAAACTGGCGATCACTCAATCTTTATCGTCAGGGTTGATCAATAAATAACAAAAGGGAACTAGTTAAAATACTTTTTGCTGAGAATTCTATATTGTACAAAAAATATAATATTGAATAAAGCCATTAATAATAATAATGATAATAATAATAATAAAGTTAATAGTCAGTAAATGTTAATCACCCAATTTTAATATAGTGCCTAAATATTAACATGACTTCCAAAAAGAACTTGAAGGTTCTATTTAAAACAATTAATCCCTTTGATAAATTTGTTGTGTAATAAAAAGATGAAGGTTATCAGAACTTCGTCTTGTCATGACACTATCCTTAAGACTCAGTGATCAATTTCGCATTGAGTTGACCGTACATTCACTGTTGAACAAGTTTTTAACTATGAGGTGCGATATATATCAATCGACCCCGTGTTTCTAGTAAATTTCTAACTAACAGTTCGGATGAAACTGTCTTCATTTATGACGTTGTTTTAATCAGTGAAAAATCCCATAAAATACTAGAAAAGTAACGATAAGCAATATTTTCCTCCACCTTGGAAGTTTTGTTTAATTCACATACCATGGCTAGATTACGGTTACTCTACATAACCGAAGCCAACTGGATCAAACCTATAAAATCAAACTTATGTATCTAGAATAGGCGTATCCAACATCTATGTTTATCTTGGCCTACGACTGGATCACCAGATACTTAAACTGAATATTATAAACCTCTTATTCCCCTTTTTTGATTACCTCTATCTTAATCTTCACATCCATCATTCCAAATTCGTTCATCGTGATTACCTTGATAACACTTCTCTTATTACGTAATATATTCACACAATAATATTATAATTATCACTATTACTATTTATCATTATTATGTCAATTGACAAGATGAAATTCTCCTACTATGAATTTTATTCACACGATTTTTTGCATTTTCATTTTTACTATATTACTATTATACTGATTGTGACTTGACGCTTTACTACAAATCATTCTGACCATTATTAAATGACCTTTCTAACTTACAAATAACCCAATTTTGAAGTACATATGTCATAGAAGATGCAAACTTTCACCATTGTTAACACATAACATCGTTAAATTCATTAATAAATGTCTTAGTAATATATCATAATTATGGACTTATAGCTGTAGAGCATAATGATGAAGTTATTAAAAACAATTGTTCATTTTTTTAATACATATGTGTCGATTGGCTTTATAAGTGAATTTCTAGTTTACAAGCAATTTTCATCATGAACTGACATTACTTAGATAGTCACTTAATTAAACTAAAGCACATTTTACAGTTGTTTCATTCAAGCTTAAGACTCAATACCATACACTAGAGGTGTTAGATAAGAGCCCCTGACTCATCATAGAATTGCTTAACGTTCTACTTACTTATTCAAAAGGCAAATTATTTTTAATCGTTCTTAGTTGCATTTATAACTTAGGTTCCGTTGTGTACAATTTGAGGATAGTTAGTCTAAATGTTAATAATTTTCACTAGTCATTAGACTGTTATTCACGTGTAATTAAATCACTTTTTAAACTAAGAAACCTTGTTAAAGAAAAGCTTTTTAAACATCTTGAGTATTATAATTAGCCGGTAATTTATTAATGTCATGTATATTTTAAGTTTCTGTTTTATTCTATTTTACTTTTCATTTCTTTCTCTCTATATAGCTTATAAAAGAAGAGTATTTGCTGAGTCAAAGTGTTTAACTTGTCTTGAACGTGTTCCTAAATATTTAATTGTTAGTCTTGGTGAAAAGGTATATTAATGTTTGATTTTCACTACTTTTATGCCGTAAATTTTCCTCGTAATAGTTTTAACTATTCCATTATTGATATTCAAGACTGAATTTTAACCAGTCTTCGATACAGTCTGTTTTCAACCAAGTAGGTTAGTGGATAATGTGTCGATATTTCAAGCGATAGGTACTTAAATTCAGTACCGATGTGAACAACATAGCGATACAGGTACATCTATGTACTGATTTTCAAGTATAACAAAACATCCGTTCCATAATCCGAAATATATTAAAACTTCTTAATAATTTTTGTTTTCATCAAGGCGACGATCAGTTTAGAATTGGAGACACTAATGTCGACTGTTGAAATCGGATAACAACTTGACTGTAACGTAGAACAGAAATTTCAAACTACTAGAATGGCTAAATCGTTATAAGTTATACTTCTTATGGAATCTAGAAATTATGGACTCGATCCAAAAATCTATATTAGACAGTCTTAAAAATAAAAACCACTTATTTAATATCAACTTCAGTTTTTAGAATTTCCCCTTTTAAATTTTAGCATGTTTTTTGTTGTTGAAAAACTGTCCTCTTATTATTTAATTACCTATTTATTAATCCATTTATTTGTCAAACGAGAAAAATAGACGTTCTATGCAGTCAATAAATTTACCGATAGTCTTTATACGATCTTTACAGTTTTTTGATTTATATTGTTTCATTTTAAAGTTTTATTTACTTTGAAGAAGTGGCTTACGTTAAGTCAAGAAACGTCAGAAATACAATTTTTCTACTCATCAGGATATAACAAGAAATATATTTAATATTAACTCTACCCGCTGCTCAATTTATTTGGAATTATAAAACTCATTCCATTTACTTCAGTCCTGACTATTCGTAGTTTTACTAGCTCTTAATTTATTTGACTTATTTCCAGTAACAGATTTGTGTACTTAGCTTCGAACCATACTCTAAGTGTGAGAGTCAATGATACTATCCAAGTCTTTGAACTGTAGTAAGTGTAGCATGGTTAAAAGCTGCAATCTAGTGACTGAAAGCCGCTATCACTTGGTCGAATATACATCCGTCTTATACACAGTTAATTACTTTATTGTATAAAAAAGGAAGTAACTGTCGTGTTCTCTTTTTTTCTTCAGGTGTTCTTATCTTTACCTTCACATATTAGTATGACACCAGGTTATTGTTTACTTACACCTTATGAACATATCAGTTCAACTACTCGACTAGATGAAGATGCGATAAAAGAAATTCGACATTTCAAATATCAATTAACTGTAATGTTTGAAGAGCAGTACAGTCAATCAGGTTGTGTTTTCATTGAAACTGCTAGTAAACCGGATACTGTTCGTCATCATACACAAGTGGAGTGTATTCCGGTCCCCAAAAATTTATACAAATCACTACCTGCTTACTTTAAGGTAATTTATATATATGTGACTTTTATAAATTGTTCACAATGGATTATGTAGAGGATAGTTTTGCTCACTAAAGACTGACAGTTGGATTATCGTTGATTGCCATCAGGAAGCATTCTCGTTTCGGCTTTCTTAACAGTCTGGGTCTACAATACGACACTTGGTCTCCTATCCAGGCCCTTCTCCTGTGTTATAGTGGGGGAGGAGCAGTATCCACGGTTGAGGAGTTCTAAAACGACAACAAAAGATCCGCTCGGTTCTCCGGCTGATTCCAATCCATAATAATTAAAACAAAACTACATCCACATCGAATTTGTAATTTATTAAGTTACCAATCCTATTGTCTATGAATAAACTCAGATGACAGATTTTGACTTTACACGGATAAACTTAAAGCTGATTTAAAAGTTGTGTCTTATACATGTTTAATGAATAAAGTATCAAAGGACTTTCATTTAAACACAATTCATTCTTTTCATTAGACTTTCTATTGTGTCCATTTCGATTTAGGATAAGACTGACAAGAACAAGAAGTGAAGCTCGTAACATGATAACATGATAATACTAATGGTTATCACTTAATCTGATACCGTTTTTTGTTTGTACGGTAAGTAAGTTCTCAGCACGAAATGTGAGCAACATTGCTGCAAATTTCTCTTCAATGATACTATGACCAAGTGGATTGAGGTGTTAATAGAAACGTATTTGTTCTAACTGATAATATACGAATCGACAAAAACAAATTTTCTTAATATACCTTAGTACCATAAATGAACAATTTCTTAAACGCGTTTTAAGCCTATTTTACTTACCTGTCACCATAGATCCTAACTGTGTAACTAATTTCTTACACTTCAGCTAAAGATCGATTAAGAATATTGTGTAGGCTTGAACTAATATTTACTGTGATGAATAAAGAGAGTAACAAAAAATATCTGATTGCAATTCATTTATTTAATCATCAATCTATCTGTATTAGTTCGTTAATCACTTCTACTGCTATGGGATCTGAATCGACAACTGCATCTCTGTGCTAATGTGGTATGGCGACTCGAACTGATGTACGTACGTACGATGTTCTACGTTGTGACTGACTGATTAGTTCGTTAATCAGTCATCGTTTATTTTCACTTAACAAAATAATAAATATTAGTGATTATTTATAGGATATTATATTTTCACTAATCTATGATAATTACTCTTCTCTAGTTTTGTTTTCCACAAAAAGGAACAAAACAATAAAATCATAAATAAATGTTTGCTTTACTGAGAACTAATTTCTATTATTCTATTGTTATTATAGCAGTTATACTACTTACTTTATTCGATAGTATGTATTTTATTACAACAAAAAAATCTGCGCACAGAATACGTAACATTACAGCAAAGCACATCTGTGAATATCCAAAAAAAATAAGTACAAAAATATTTTTTGGTTGCTATTTTGAGATAATGGAGAAGATTTTTAGCTCAGATGGATAGTTTTGGTGGAGTTTTGTCTTCTAAGCTCCACCAAAATTAGTTTCGATTCTTCATTCGTAATTGGTTACGACTAGATTTTCTCTCATGACATATCTCCTTTCACTCTCAAATATTTTTGATTAACGAACTCTGTAGTAACCTCCTCTTGTTTCTACAAAGGGCCGAAGAGGAGGAAAATATACAGACAATCATTGTGGTAATCTTTTCAGGAACTCCATAGTGTCGAAGAAGTTTCCATAATGTTCTCCTGTCCACGCTGTCAAACGCCTTCTCATAGTCAATAAAGTTGACGTATAGTGATGAGTTCCACTCAACTGATTGTTCAACGATGATCCGTAGTGTCGCAATCTGGTCTGTGCACGACCTATCCTTACGGAATCCAGCCTGATGATCCCTTAGTTCGGCGTCTACTGCGTCTTTCATCCGATTCAGCAGCACTCTGTTGAAAACTTTTCCTGGTACTGATAACAAACTGATACCTCTGTAATTCCCACATTTGCTCAGATCTCCTTTCTTTGGTATCTTGATGAGATATCCTTCTTTCCAGTCCGTTGGCACTTGTTCCTCTTCCCAAATCTTTTTGAATAGAAGGTGAAGCATGTTTGCAGTTATTTCAATGTCTGACTTCAGTGCTTCTGCTGGTATATTGTCAGGTCCTGCCGCCTTCCCACTTTTGATTTGTCTGATGGCCATCTTGACTTCTTCGATCGTTGGTGGAGTGACATCTATTGGAAGGTCAGTGTGTGCTGCTTCGATGTTCGGTGGATTCAATGGGGCTGGTCTGTTTCAGCAGTTCCTCCAAGTATTCTACACACCTGTTCCTCTGCTCTTGAATCTCCGTGATTGTCTTTCCTTCTTTATCCTTGACTGGTATCTCTGGTTTGCTATATCTTCCTGCCAATTTCTTCGTTGTATCATATAGTTGTCTCATATTCCCTTCTCTTGCAGCTTATTCCGCCGCCGTTGCTAGTTCTCCCATGTATTTCTGCTTGTCGGCTCTAATGCTTTTCTTCACTTCCCTGTTTGCTTCTGCGTAGTCTGCTTGTGCTTTGACTTTCTCTGCTCGTGTTCGGCTGTTGTTAATTGCTAGTTTCTTGTTCTTCCTTTCTTGAATTTTGTCCACGGTTCCCAGAGAGATCCATTCCTTGTGATGATGCTTCTTAGGACCAAGAACCTGCTGACACGTTGAAGTTAGTGCTTCTTTTATCCCTTTCCAGTTGTCCTCCAAAGTAGTTTCTTGTTCTTTCAGTAGATCCTGTAGAGCTTGGAACCTGTTGTTGAGAGTTATCTTGAATTCATTGAGCTTGTCAGCATCTCGAAGGAAGGCTGTATTGAACCTTTGTAGTGCTGTTTGTCCAGTCTTTCTTTAGCTTCAGTCTCATCTTGGCCACAACCAGGTGGTGATCTGAAGCTATGTCAGCTCCTCTCCGGGTTCTCACATCTTCCATTGATCTTCGGAATTTTTTGTTGATACAGATGTGATCAATCTGGTTCTCTGTGGTGTGGTCCGGTGAGATCCATGTAGCTTTGTGTATGCGTTTGTGTGGGAATATTGTGCCGCCTATAACCAATTTGTTGAATGCACATAGGTCTGCAAGTCTCTCCCCATTTTCATTTCTCTCTCCTAATCCATGTCGTCCAATTACATCTTCATATCCTGTGTTGTCCACTCCAACTTTAGCATTTAGATCTCCCATCAGGATGTTGAGGTCCTTTCGTGAGCACTTTGCTACAATTGATTGCAGCCTTTCATAGAACTGATCTTTATCATCGTCCTTTGCTATCATTGGTGGGTGCATAACATTGGATAACGTTCATTGTGATCCCTTGCTTCTTTGTTCTGAATGATGCTTTGATTATCCTGGGTCCATGAGATTCCCATCCCACAAGTGCATTTCTTGCTTCTTCGGACAGCATTAGAGCAACTCCCTGAGTGTGTGGAGCATTTTCCCCTTCGTGACCGGAGTACAGCAGCATCTCTCCTGTACCTAGCCTTTGTTGTCCAGTTTGTGTCCAATGGGTTTCGCTGATTCCGAGTACTGCCAAGTTGTATCTCCTCATTTCCATTGCTATTTGGCTGGTCTTTCCTGTCTCCCACATTGTCCGGACGTTCCATGTACCTATAAAGAGTGTTGCTCTGGTTGTTAGAAGGTGCATCGGTCTCGTGACTTCCGAAGAATTTCGGCTTTCACCATGAGGTGTCATAATTATTCCTTCAACTGGGAGGGCAGAGTTTAAATGGTTTGAATTATTTTTTCTGGTTAGCGTTTTTTTAGCGAGTTAGCTTTTCTACGGGATGGGGTCGCTAACCCCATGCCCAACCCTCCTCCTTTACCCGGGCTTGGGACCGGCAGTAACTCTAGAAGAGCTACAGGCGGAATTCTAATTACAAACATAATTAATTAATTAAGATAAACCGAAAGCGAAAAAATTTAGCGGGAAAAATTCTACACATTTAATGACAAAAATATAAAAGCTTGAGCTAGTCTCATATGACGTAATTAATTTATAGGATTGATGCCATTCCATCAGATTTGACTGACTGACTGATGTAGTTCATCTAGACCATAAGAGTTAAACACATTATATCTAATCATTGTCTTTGTGTTAGAAAGAATGTTGTGTAGGTTGTATCTATTTGTTATTTGATATCATACAAAATCGATTTAGTCAAAATAATTTTAAACATACATAACTTATGTACAAAATGAAATGTATAGGTCGATATAAATAGCTAAACCTAAAGATTGAAAAAAGTTGTTTCAAAACTGAGCCAATTGACTATCATTGATATGTCCTTTTGTTCTATTGCTTGTGAATATTGGTTCAATGCTGAATTGAGATCATGAATCGACGGATGTTAGACCACCTGGAAACACTGGACGTCTGTTTCGTTTTAGTATGTAGCTCCTCAGCAGTGCGCCTCCACAATCCCGAGCGCGAACGCTTAACTTCTAGACCACTGAGCCGGCATCCAACAGTTTTAATGTCTAACTCCAATCGATCCACGAAATTGCGCTATGCTTTAATTAACCAATCACTCTATTTCATCTTTGGGAGATCGGATAATGTTTTCTAACGAAACCTTGTAGCTCAAAGTCTTTAGTATGTGTATATGTACTTGTTTGTTTGATTGGTAAAACAATCGGACCGATTCATTATGTCAATGCATCAAATAGTGAAAAGACTGTGTTTCCGCATCTATACAATGTAGGTCAGCTTGTCCTTAAGTGTAATAACCCTAGAGTCGATACATATTTATGTCAAATCTGGTGTTTCATATAATTAATTGACGTATTGTAAACAACTCAAGAAATAGGTTATTTCTAAAATCGATTTCTTCTTAATTTTATTACAACTAACTTTTTTATATAATATTTAACCCATGTTTAAAGGCAATAGGGGTTCGTTGTATTCCACACAATATTCTGCAATTATTTTTATGTGATAAGGTTATTTTAAAGTGTCTGTATTAAAAATGGTAGTTTTAGAGTAACTTATTAAAACTGTTGTTCGTTAATCTAATCTTCTGAATTCTGCATGTCCCTCTCTTTTTCCTCTTTCCAAATTCATTTCACTGGATTATACTCCCTGAATAACATCTTAAAACCTTAATCTTTCCGATTACTGCCTATAATCTTACTACCTCCACCACTGTGGGATTTGAATCGACAACTGCATCTCTGTGCTAATGTGGTATGGCAACTCTAAGTGATGTACGTACGTACGAAGTTCTACGTTTTTACTGTCTATCTGCATAATGTGCTTATCCGGTAACCTACATTCTGTTCAGTCTCTGTTCTATAATATTCTTTAAATTATTTTGTTTTTCTAAAATTAATATTCAGAAAGCCTTAAGCGAAATTGGCTCTGAATGGGATCAAAATCGTCGCCTAATCACATTGAAACCGGGTGGATCTGGCGCGTATGGTGCAATTCCTCCGAAATTCGCTTATTTAGCTGTAGAGTTCGGTACTACAAATGGTGGTTTCGCACGTATTTTAGATGAAGAGCACGAAATATCTTCATATTCTGGACGTGTAAGGAATTTCATTTGAGTAAATCTTATTTTCAAAATTTGACTAAAATCTGTTTGAATGATCTAAATTTACTTCGATAAGTGAATCGTTACAAAACGCCAGCTGAAGCTGCATATAGTCTACAAAAAAATACAACTATGATAACATACTTATCATTCAACTGTCGAATCAAACACAATAAAAACAGTTATTTAACACCTTCGGTCAAAAGTTACAACTCTCTATCATGGATGTCGATCGTCTATCATTCTAATTTACTTTAATAAATGAGACGGGTTTCATCATATGGAAACCTTTACAAATCCTATTAGCAATGACCTTGAGAATAAGAATATAGAAAATTGCATTCTGGTTACATAACATGTAATGTGACTACATCATTAGGGTTAAAAGTGTCCAGCAAACATTAACAATGAATTGATTTTCAAAGTTTGGAAAAAAATCGATGTTACAAAGCGATGAACAATGGAAATGAACATTTCGTTTTTTATGATTGTTTGTCAATAACGGTATTTTATGTAGAACATACAAAATTAATTTTACTGTAATTAGATTTCTTTTTTATGACGTTTTTATGAATCTACACTTTATAGTTATAATAATAATCATAATAATGTTTGTATAATAAAGATTGTCTTTGAATGATTTCAATTTGTACATTTCATATCGGTCAATCATAAACGACAATGAAAAGTTTGACAAAATTGTGGGACTCCTCAGCAATGCACATCAACGATCCCGCCTCGTGAGATTCAAACCCAGGACCTACCAGTCTCGCGCCAGAGCACTTAAGCGATAGACCACTGAGTCGGCCGTCATCCAACGGTATTAATGTCTAACTTCAATCAATCCACGAAATTGAGCAACCATTCACCAATGTTTTCAGTGAGTTGACGAAACGGCCGTCCAGTGCTTCCAGGTTTTCCATGGTGGTCTAGCTTCAGTTGATTCATGATCTCAACTACATAAAATTAATAAAAATCTTCACATAACCCCCTTTTGATAATCTAGTTTAAGATAAAAAGTAAATGTAACTGGGCCATTGTGATCAATTCTGAGCCAATATCACCCGAATATTCAAATTATAAACAATGTTCGCAACAATTTCAAACCTTTTGAATACTAAACTAAAAGGTATTTCTATCATGCACTTAATGAAATGAAATATACAAAACCATGTATTTTCAAATTTCGCATAAAAAAGATAGGAAATAGTCTACTTTATTCCGATTGGCTCATTCCTATGCCACACTTTTACTAAGTAAACCACAAAAGTTTTATATTCTTCGCATTTTATTCATGTTTAATTATGATAAAATGAATTTTACGATTTGATCAAGTTCTTTGTTGATTCCATTCTTAATATAAACAGGAAATTATAGCTGGTGCACTAGACAAAGAACCTCGTTTATGGCGTAAACCAAAATTGGAGAATTTTGAACATTTACGTCAAAAAGTTGTAACTTTTGAAAATCTATGGCATACATACGATAAATGGCAACAGAATAAACTAGATACTCATTCTTCAAATAATTCACAAATAATTAATGATGAAAAGTCAAGTGCAAACAACAGTGAATTTGAACCAGAAGGTCCAGATCTACCTCCAGGATATTGAATTTTGTAAATGTATCATATACAGTGTACATATATTCGTTATTGTTTGTTAGTCTCAAAGTATGATTGACTGAATTCATTCTGCACATATTGTTCCTAAGCGAATTGTTACTTTCTGTATTTAAAAAATATTTTTTATTCATGTCTTCAGTAGTTTTTTTCTAGTCCTGGATCAAGGAAGTTACTTACCAAAAAAAGGTGATGTTTTGGGAATTTCGTTACTTGAAGTTGATGAGCAGAAAACCTTGAATCTAGGTTAATTTTAATTATATCAATAACAAATGACATCAGATGTAAGTATCAAAACAATAATATGTCATCTCTTATTAGGAAAACTTTATTCGAAATAGGAAATAGACAAAACAATGAAAAAAATATAATCCAACTCAGCATCATTGATTTCATCGAGCGGATTCAATGCTATAATCGATACACATCTGTACGGATATGAAAGCTACCTACTTTTACCCGGAACTTTAAATCTCACTGAACCATGAAATATGATAAGTCATCGCTTGATGTATGAATTATTAATATATTTTGTAAAAATACTATTCATTATATATTCCCTTGTAAGGAACATAAAATCATGGTAAACAAGTAGTAAGATAAAAGTATGAAAACGTTCAACAATAGGATATATTGTCTATTTTGTCGACCACACAGCAGCATTATTCAAAGAATTGCTACCTCATAAAACAATCACATAGCCTTTTGATTTCTCCCAACCGTTACTGCTACTTTGACGTGGTGGTCGGGCTTGTCTATCGTAATGATCCAATCGAGCTATACTGACTGGAACAATTGTCCATCAAGGTCCTATCATGCCAGACAGATCGGTTAAAGAGCGGTTAGACTAAAAGTAGCAAACTCAAGCTCCAAAGGTGAAGTCACACTGCTGACTGTACAGAGGTGTGACGGCAGTAAGGTGTTTCCTTCAGACAACCAGCATAACTGCGATGCCTTCCCACAAGGAGGGGTGGGGTTAGAAAAGGTCGACCCTAAAACTGCACACCTCGCCTTATCCCACGGATATCCGTCTCGGACGGTACGGTTTCAACAAGTACGGAGCTAACACGAAAATTACCCACAAAAGGTCGTGTGTAACCGACTCCAAGCAAGTGTCCCTTGGGCACTGCAGTCACGCTCTCAGGTCATTAAGACCACTTCTAATCCAATTTCATTTCCAGGTACCTCTCGAAGAACCCTTCCATGGTGTGGGCAACCGGGAAGTAATAACTGCCATCATACCTCTAACAGCACTCAAGATCACTGTATTCATAATCAATCTCTTTCAATTCCTATTATCCATCCCACCTAGACTTTCAACACTAAACTTCCTCTTTCGGTTTTCTCCTCAAGTGTCACCATGACCAGCGATTCTAGTGCTCGAAGCACTGTCACAAGTCTACTAAAACCTCGCTCCAAACTTCACATTGGAGCCTTCAGCGTACGTACCCAATTTCAAATCGACCTACATGCCTCCTTGGCTATGACCCTAGAATCTCGTAACATTGATTTATGCTGTGTCTCCGAAACACGCATACAGGATCCCAGTGTGGTCATCCACTTGACCTCACCTCTCCAAAATGGAGAGCCGACGAGATACGCCCTCCGTGCATCTGTCGACCCGTTGGCTAGTTCTCGTGGACTTGCAGGTGTAGACATAGCACTTAGTACGAGAGCAGAACAAGCACTATTAGAATGGATCCCTGTTAACAGTCGCCCACGTGCTGTCCAGCTGAATGGCTCCGTAAGAACTCAGAAGAATAGGAACACACGTCGTTTCTGCCTACGCTCCCGATGACTTTTACAGGAAGCTTCCTGAACTTCAAAAAGCTAAACGCTCAGACACAGCACTCGTAACATATAACTTTAATACCCAAGTAAGTAATTTAAACCAAATAGAAAGACAGTTAGGTGGGTATTCTAGTATCCCTGCCCAGCGAACAGATAATTTTGATCGTCTGTTGCAACTATGCTCAGACAAACGTTTGTTTTTAGCAAACACTAATTTTACGCATAAGGAGAGACATCGTCTAACACGGCGACCACATGCACCAAACTAACGATGGACTCGAATAGACCATATTGCTAATCTGAACCGAGGAAGAGCAGATGGTTTGGTCCACAGGTCTTTAGATATGGTGGTCCAATTTCAGCGAATAGGTTGACTAATATTTTAGCTGAAATCTGGCAGTTGGACGTAATCCCATCCGACTGGTCACAATCACATATTGTCCCAATATATTAAAAGGGGTCAAGATCATCCTATAATAACCATAGAGGGATTAGTTGGACTAATATAGCATCTAGAATACTAGCATCAATAATTATCGGGCACCTAAGACTAGTAAACTGCAAACACGAGAAAATCAGGCTGACTTCAGGCCTAGCCGTGCATTTGACTCTGTAGAGGGAGAGGTTCTGTGGCAGTGTCTGCCATTGAAAGGTGTACTTCAGAAGTACATAAACCTTGTGCAGACTCGTTGCTCAAACACTACCAGTCGAGTGAGAGCTTATGGCGAACTGTCATGTGATTTTGCAACCTCAAGTGGTGTCTGACAAGGTTGTCCACTATCCCCATTTTTGTTTAACTTTATTATAGACTGTTAAGTCGGCTTACAATAAACTCTATCAGAGCCTCCAGAGGCTCATAAAGAGTCCAACCAATCAGCGATTAGTTAGAAGCTATGCTACTAAAATAACGAGGTCCTGATTGGCTGTTTAACATACTGCTACTATGGAATCTCAAGGTCTTTTAATTACTATAAAACCCCTGTTTTTCTGTACATAAATGAACCTTGTAGTAAAGCGTTTTCTCTGATACTGATCTGAATAAAGCGTTCAACCTACAAGATATAACAGTGGCGATGGGGATTTCGGCAAAAAAAAACAATTGTTGTCGGGGGTTTTGGTACACAAAAAAATACAACAATTGTCGTCGAGGATTCTGGCAAAAAAGAAATACAGCAACCGAGACGTGATTTGGGAATCAAACAAGCTGTAATAATTGCCGGTGAATTTTCGGAGTTATTATGATTATCAGCAGAAAAAAATGACGATTTCTCTAGAACAGGCGCTGATAATCTTAGAGCACCGGCAACAACAGATGCTAGCCTTCCAGCAGCAACTATTTGAAACAGTCTTGGACAAGTTTTTCAATAATGGTGTTAAAATGGCCGTCCCAGAAGAACGCCCAGTTGAGGGTTCAATTCCCTTCACATCTGATGGAAAAGGCGAAATGGGTAAGTTGGCCGGTTCAGAGCAAGACAATATTTTGCTAAATGCACATGAAACTGTGACAGTATCAGATGTCAAAGAAAAACAAGGTTCCGTAGACAAAGCCCTGAGCCCAGAGTCTAATGAAGCGCCACTCAATCCGCCGATTTCTGAAGACAAACTTCAGTCAGAATTAAACTACGGGTTACATGATATCGTCCAAGAAAGGTGGAATGGTGCACATGATTTTGATGAAAATTCTTATGAAGATGAGGAAACTAAGTCGGTTGAATCACATGCTGATCAAAAACCTAAGGCAATTTCATTAGATGATGATTCCCCTAGCTATCAAATATCCTCCAGTGAAAATCTTAATGAATTTGATGGAGATGTTTCAGAAAAGCCAAATTCCGATGACCTAAAATCAAATATCGTTCATCATCATCTATTCATTTCTAGTGGATTCTGCATTCAATACGAGAAATGTGTTCTAAATGAAGTCATATTAATTGTAAATTGGAGATATGAAGATCCAACATTATTTCGTGGGGGAAGAAATGTTAGAGAATTTCAACTTACAGATAATTCTTTTTAAAATCAGAATCGAGTCTTCAAAAAAAAGGGGAGGTGTTAAGTCGGCTTACAGTAAACTCTATCAGAGCCTCCAGAGGCTCATAAAGAGTCCAACCAATCAGCGATTAGTTAGAAGCTATGCTACTAAAATAACGAGGTCCTGATTGGCTGTTTAACATACTGCTACTATGGAATCTCAAGGTCTTTTAATTACTATAAAACCCCTGTTTTTCTGTACATAAATGAACCTTGTAGTAAAGCGTTTTCTCTGATACTGATCTGAATAAAGCGTTCAACCTACGAGATATAACAAAGACCTATTGCTGAAAATAACAAGGCTGTCCACTACTGCTGGAAATAACGCTCTCGTCGGATGAACTTTCGAGCACTGATCTCCTACTGGGAGGTCCACTTATCAACTTCGAATACTCAGATGACATGGTCCTGTTTGGTGAAGACGCTGAAAAAACTCAGTCTTTTGGTAGCACTGAGTAACAATTCAAGGATGTTTGGGATTCGTTTCTCCCCCTCTAAATGTAAATTGTTGCTCCAGGACTGGCCTGCATCAACACCTGAACTAAGGATAAGGAGTGAAGTAGTCGAACGCGTCGACAACTTCATTTATCTTGGAAGTTTGATCAGCCCTAATGGGTTGGTGTCTGACGAAATCTCAGCACGGATTCAAAAAGCTCATTTGGCTTTTGCCTACTTACGTCACCTATGGCGAAGGCGAGATATCCGTCTATCAATTAAAGAACGAGTATAATGTGGGGCAGATCGTTCTGTTCTACTTCACGGCTGTGAAACTTCAACATTGACGGTAGAAGATGCTCGTAAGTTACCAGTATTTGACCACAGATGCCTTAGAAATATTAGTCGCATCTGCTGGGATCACCGGGTAAGTAATAGTGAGGTTAGACACAGGGTATTAGGGAATGCTGGCAAATCAGTTGATGAGTTTGTGAATCTTCATCCACTGAGATGGATGGGTCGTGTTATGTATGCCTAAACACCGACTACCATGACGCGCGATGCTGATTAGTATTGGGGATGATTGGCCAAACCAAAACGTGGCATCAGAGCTTGAAGTCACTAACTTTTAGTCTTAGCCATGTTGGTAGGTGTCAGCGCGACTATCGTAACCAATGGTTGGAGACTCTATGTGACATGGTTCAGAACCGATCACAATGGCGTAGGTGTATACACTCTTTATCTTCCCTTTAAAATTTGCTTCATATCTGTCTTTCTTCCTGTACTATATCCGTGTATACAACCTTTCTTTTATATATTACCACCACTAAATTAATTACTTCTATGAATCCGGTGTTCATCTTGTGCTAACGAGGTATGGCAACTTGGACCGATGCATATGTGCCTGCTCCCACGTTGTGGTTGACTGAACTTTGATTTCTAATTAGACTGTTTCTTATCAACCTCCATTCATTCACAGATTCTTGTTCAAATTCTTACTTTTCTGAACTTGATTGTATGGCTTTAGATTTGTTTTTAAATATGCCACTTTTCTCCTAATAATTGAGAATTTCTTTAAATCAGTAAGTGTAGGCTTCAGGTTTCACAGTGAACATGATGCCGAAAATTTCTTGTGCACATTTCCTGTTATTGATGAAATCACGTGAGCACTTTTTGAAGGAAGAAACTGTCAGCTACAGATCATGTAAATTGATGATCCCCGCTGAAAATAAGGAATGAGTTCGATCAATTAATATTGTAGTACATCCATCTTGAGCGGATTGACTTCAGTCAGGAATTTTATGAAAGCTGGATTGTGGCTATCAGTTAAATCCACAATATGCGTTTTTTCCTATTTAAAGCTTGTCAGATAGATGTACCTGAATCCTAGTATTAGCGCGTGCATATTCAAACTCTAACCAAATACTGTACGCTTCAATACATGAGACATCTATAGGTGAGTTTAAAATAGCTTGAATCGAGAAACCAACAC